TTATTATTATTATTATTATTATTATTTTTTTTTTTTTTTTTTTTTTTTTTTTAAGACACTAAAATTAAGAAGAGCTTTATATTACTTTGGGGCGTCTCTAAACAAGTAAAGCCAGACTATAGGCTCACGGGACACTTTAAATAAGCAACTTCCCCTCTCAAAACAAGGTTTCAGAAATAAAACTCACCGGCAAAGAGTGAAAAACAAATGAGCATGATTGACCATATTCCATTTGATTTTAAGAAGGGATTCCAATGGTGTTTTCTGTGGTGGCAGGCTCTCCATTCCCATTCCATGGATGTCAATAGAGGTAACCCACTGAAATATTGCGCGCACTTTGGCTACGTCATTACTAGCGCCCTCTGTGAGGTACTGGATCAACTGTGGGAACGGCTTTACCATCAAGTCTTTGGGGGTCTGACATGTGAATGGAAAATCATATATCAAACATCAGAAACTTATTGAGGGTATAGTTTAGATATTGTTATCTGATTATGCTGCTGTTATTTGGAAGAATGATCAAGGAACATCTCATTGTAATAGTTGTGCTTCTAGCTTTACTTTTCTTTAAGTCATTTCCGGATGAAACCTTGCATGAAATAAGTACAAGATGAAGTTATTCTACTGTAAACCAACATCCCCTGAAATTTCTATACCTTGAGAACTTTTTTGTCTACATCTTTGAATAAAACCTTTGTGAAGACGTCCACTTTGCGTGTCACAGGAGGACAAGGCGGAGGGATCTTGGCGGTTACTTTTTTGTATTCTTCCTTTTGGTTTTCTGTATCCACTTCGTTTATTCTAGCAGCTTTTTCGTCATTTTCCATCCCAGATCTTGAGCTGCTTGGACCATTGGTTTCCGATGGCTACAAGAGTACACACAAATGTTTTTTCAGATTTACATTACTATAGTTAAATGTACCTAAATGTAGAACACGATTTTATTGTCTATGGCTCTCAGGAATCTAGGATGAGGGTTTTACCAGTACCAGGATGCAAATAAATAGCAAGAAGCATTGAATAGGAACTGGAGAAAGATGTAAAGAAATCAACAGAAAGAAATCACCAAAATGGATATTTTGGGTGACTGTAAATTTAAATTAAAAAAGGAAAATGCCAAGACGCCTTTTACCTTAGGTTTCACGGCAGTTTTGTGGTGTTTAGACGCTCCAGAACCCATGTGTGTGATGTTTCAATCTGCAGTGTGGAAAAAAATTACATGAATAAAAATCAAGATGGCGCATGATTCCATGTGAAAACCAGCAATTATACTATCTAGATATTGATGTCCTTACAAGCTACATAGCGTAGACCTGATAAAGGCGCTCCATAAATTGCACAGTTGTCAACTTCCAAGTGATAATGGCTATTTACAAACGATAACTTTTGACTTATTTTAATAATCTGAAAGTTCCAGTGTTCTCGATTTTGTCCTTTAACAAACAAAAATAATTTAGCCTCAAAATGACTTCTTATAGCTTTTGCATCTAGCCAGTGGTAACCGTTTCGGAAGCTGAAAATATAAGTGTCATAATTCTAACGAAGTCTTAAACACTCAATCAAATATTAGAGAAGCTACTGTAATAGAAAAATAACGATCATAATCATCTTAACTGTGGGTTGCATTACATGAACGATATGAACAGGAGTGGACTAATAACACAAGAAAATGTATGTAACTTGTGACATTACGCACGTACGCTTTTAATCAATTACTAAGATTGCGTCGAACAGAAAGCAAACATGCCCTGGTTTACCAATACCATTACTTTCAGACTGGGGTAACACAGAGCTATAAACAAATGATTGATACATGCACCTTCGTCACTAATTGTAACATTTACAAAGAATTGTTCATCGTAAACAGACCTTTTTTTGGCTGTATATTTAAAATAAACTTTTTTCTTTTTGTCATGTTGCAGTGAAAATCTATATCTTAAACATGTTCGAATAGGTTACCCTGAACCAAGGAACATTACCTCTACGAAGAACTGCTTGATCACGTTTACAAATCACAAATGACACACGTGGACTTTATGTTTGAGGTCAGTTCCCATGGCCACGTTGCTTTAGGTACTTGAAATTCAGAGCAATTTTCTGTAATATTACAAAATGTACTAAAAAAAAATATGTCAATGGCAGACTTTGTCATTATGAGTAATGTGTGGAATCAAAAAAAAAAAAAAAGATGTTTGTCAAAACCAAACAGTAGCATCTATGTAACAAATTAAGCCAGGAAGAAATGTATACACAAGGCAATTGAGCTTTGTGGAACATTATTTGAGTGAATCGTTGACCAAATTTATTCATGTTATTGATAGACCTCCCGTTTCTTTGGTATCACTTCCTGTAACTTAAATCTTTTCCCCATCAGTCGATCCAATAATGTAACGAGGCTTAGGTCCCTACTGCATACAGTGGGTGAATTGGGTGAAGTGTAGGCACATTGTGATAACCGTTATATGATATATTGTGCAAAAGTTGAAGCAGGTTTGTGCCTCGAGTTATCCGGGGTTATCGGCTTTTATTCTCCACCCTATAAGAAGGTTACCCTCTAAAAGGGTGAGTGATAGATTTTTTACAGATATTCACAGATATGTCTCTAGCTAGATAGATGGTCATTTTCAGAAAATGACCATGTGAAAACCATGTGAACACCACAAATTTTCAGAAAATGACCATCCATCTAGCTAGAGACATATCTGTGAATATCTGTAAAAAATCTATCACTTACCCTGGTAGAGGGTATAAGAAGGTTGGTGCTCTAATATTAATAAACTATAGGCAAAAATAAATTAAACGCTATTTGCAAACACACCTTTTGGAAGATATGCGTTCTAATATCACTAAACGGAGAATAAAAACACATTCAATTGATGTTAGAAACCCAAGCATTTGCTTATTACTGAATAGACTGAATAGGTTTTTTGATATTACACTTGGTACGTACATTGCTCCGATAATAGTACTTATTAGAAGACCATTCTTTCAAGTTCACGTTCGTGTACACGCTAACTGCATTATTCAAACCATAGAAGTACTTCTATGTTCAAACTAAGCGTCATTTCTATAAAATCCAGCAGTGCTATCATTTCCAGAAAGCAATTTCACATATTCCTCAATGACAAGACAGCGATAAGTATCACCAATATTGAAAACTGTCTGTAAGAGATATCTGGTTAACAATCACTGACTTGTGAAATGAGATTTACCAAATGTACATAATCAAGTCGTTTTTGTTTCTTGATCTTAATTTCCCCAGATGACGAGAAACTTTTTTGTCCCTAAAAATTCGTTTTCGAGGAGAAATCCGAACTCTTTGGCAGAAATATTTCAACCTCACTGCATAATGCTTTAGTCATGCTAAATCACTTGAATGTCGTTTTCATTGATTCATTGAAGAAAACGTACATGCAAGCAACTGAAAGGCACAATATTTATTCAAATTATGTATTACCTTATATCCCTAACGTGTATGGGTGTATACATGTACAAAATATTACTGGTACTTAGAACACAATATTCATTGATTATAAGATTATATGGAATGCTCTTGCGAGTCAACGCGGCTAAGAAGTTTCGACCATCTAGACTTATCTTTCGTGATAAGGTTGACTGAAATCAAATCCCTTTGCAGGACATTAAATAGAGCGAGGAATGTTCTACTTTATGACAAACGCCATACGATGAAAATTTAAGCACATTTCAGGAACTGCTTCTCCGAAGATTGTAGATGCGCCTTTCATTAACAATGATTTAAGTACTAGTTGTATAATAAACAAAACGAGAACTAAGTCTATTTGTCGTATTAAATGTGTTTTATTCCTTAGACTAATAAACAAGCGGATTTAGACCTGTGGCCTATATACGGGTTGCCTGTGACATCATTTACTGAGCTCGTTCTACGAGTCAATATCCTAGATGAGAAGCAAACTCCACCAAAGTGAAAAAAAATACAGCTGATGCATGTATAATACCAACTTTATGTACATGTAGGCCCGTCATGGGGGTGTCTCGTCAGCCTCAACTTGGCTACGGTCATACCAGCAGTATATTAAAATCTAATTAATTTAAATAAATAAATATAAAATAAAAAATATAACAAAACAATCCAATATTTATACAAAAGTTATAATATCTACGAATCTGGCTTTTGTTTTGCAACTAAAGTATTCCTTTTAAAGCGCAGCACGGACGGTCGGAAAAATATCACAGCATGACTTCGACGGACTTGCATCTTGCAGGAAATCAGTCATGAGATAAAACTGTTTGTAAAATACATAAAGCGCTAGCCAGAGCAACTTAAAAAATATGTACAATAAAAGTAAATGTTGACCTCTGTGATTTTGTTGTTTTTGTTTTAATAATAATAATAAAGTTATAATAATAAAGTAAATTCAAAATGGAGTAACATGCATAGATGTGGGTATTTGAAATATAAATTAGAAATAATTATATATTAAAAACTGTTATCCATAATCCAAAAACATAATTATCATGTTTTATGTTCTTTTTAAAAAAACACAGATGCAGTACAATAGTATGTGCAACAAAGCTACCGTACAAAATAATTACACTGATACCTATACTATACAATACAGGCTCATGAGTCCAGTAAGCAAATGTTTAAATACAAAAAAGCCAGCAGGTTACAGAGAACTTAACTTCTCTTAATACGCACGTAAGGGATTCAAACCCATTTTTTAAATATAAACCTGACCACAATACTGTTATCCCTGCTGTTATGCCCCTATGTTATGCTGCCGTAGACCTACTGTTATGCCCACCGCTGCGTGGGCTATCCTAGGGCATGACTGTTATGTCCCTATGTTATGCTGTTAAATCGTTATGCCCATCCTTGTGTAGGCTGATCCTTGGGTTTGCGTTCACCAAAGGCAGATTTCCCTCTGGCAGTTTTTGGTCGAACTGTGCTCAAATCACCGCCTGATTCGGTAAAACGCGATTCGCATTCGGCAATCATTCCCTGGGCCTGTAATAAACATCATTTTAGTGTTTTGTTATACTCATGTTAAAAAGTTATTTATTTCTTCATTATTAAAAGGTATGAAGGCTATAGTTACTTCCGTAGTATGACAACTTCAATAATGCGTATTTTAGAAACAAACTAACCAATATTGCTCCCCTTCTACTGCTCAAACATGCGATTTACGTGACTTGGCAAAGTACAATAGAATAATAATCAGTTGTGTATAAAAGTAATTTTTATGTAGCTGTACATTGTGGATGGTTGTGATAAATACGCACCCAAACATAAAATGTGGCCGCCCCGGCGCTCACATCATGTACTTCCTCCTTGCTGAATCTAGCCATTATCTCCTTGGCTCGCAAGGCAACATCGACTGCAAGTTTCTCAACGTTAAACTGAGAAACCTTCCGTTTCAAGCTTTCTCTACCAGTTTTGCCCATAAATGCTTGTACAGACCGCCATTCCTATAAAATAGATCAATTTGGAGACTGCCATTAATTACATTCCACACTGAGTGACTAAAATTGAAACCTTTTTTAATTTGGCAAGTTTTTAAAAATGACTTTAAGCAAAATTAAAAGAAAATGTTTTCTTGTGCTTCATGTAAAGCATTTTCTCAGAGATATCTGCACAGATAAAAATATTATTTATAAATCACAGTAAATCACTTACCTTCACTTGGTCTTCTGTTAACCCAAGCAAAAGGTACGATGCCGCCATGACTTGATGAACAGCATCCGGCGGATTGGAATAACTGCGTATCTCAGCTATGGTCTTTTGGTCCAAATTCAGGATATCATGGCGCAGTTTTTCAATGTGTCTTAGGTGTTCTAGGACACGTTTGGCGTAAGCAAGCTCAAGGTTTAAGCTCTTGTTGTAGTTGGCAGCCTCTCCAGCTTCTATGGCCCTCTCTAACACATCCACTTCACGAACAGACATTGCTGTCACAAGATCTGCAAATGAGCAAAAGCGAACAAAAATTAGATTTTGCCTCTATTCTCATTCAACTACCTTTATATTCATAAAGCAATATTTTCATTTATGAAAATATTGCTTTATGAATATAAAGCAATATTTTCATTTATGAATTCATTGGCTGTACTCGATAAGATTAAACCTTAGTACATAAAAACAGCTAGATACAGCAAATATCTACAACCAATACCCAGTGCTTACATACGTCACCCTTCGTTACAACCATTGCGAAAAACTATTCCACTGCTTACTTGTATTTAATTTAGCCACTGAGCCGTACTACAAATTTGATTTTTACACGTGTAAAAATTCCATTACTGTATTAGTACAGGAAGATAACACACTCAAAGGAACAGTCTCTTTGGTGAACAAAATACATTTTAATAAACCTTATTTAGTTGCTAGGGATATATATATATATATATATATATATATATATATATATATATATATATATATATAAGTTAATGAGTAACGTGGCTTTGCAGACAAAATACGGGGAAATGATGCAACTTCTAAAACACTCACCCGATTTCGCCTTCAGCAGCATCAGCATTTTCTTTGCCTTTTCCAGGTTATTCTTATTATCAGGAAAACCACTATCCTCGAATTCTTTGATAGCTACGGCAAGTTCGTTAGGATCTTTGGATTCCATGGCTAACTTCAGCTTGCTATTCAACATTCGCCGCTTTTCGGCTGAATGAAAAAAAGGAGATATTTTAACAAAGATCTTAAAAATGTGTTATGAAAACTTCGTCATCATATCAAACATACTTTTTTGATTGGTGTTTTTTTATTTGTGATTAATGCACGCTTCGACTGTAAGCTGTGGTTTACCATCTCTGATGAACTCGACAACAACGGTTGACATAAATTAATAGGCTAGTTTGGTTTAATTTGACGGTGAAAGTGAACATCAATCAATGCAAATAAAACATTGTGCTGATGGGAAAGCAGAAAGAATGTTAATATACAAGGGAAAAGGGAAATCCCGGGGGTTAACGGAGTTTGGGGATTCGTGGGCTACGCCAAGTTTTTTTAATTGCGGCGTTTCCTACCAAGGGCTTTCTTTGCTTCTTTTCGACGCTGTTTTTCTTGTTCTTCCCGTTTTTTCTCTTCCTCCAGCTCTCGAAGTTTTCTTTCATCTTCCTCCGATAAAAACGGAGTAGTCTGGGGAACTGATCTGTCCTCTTGTACATTTTCAGTTTTGCCTACGTCATTTGGTGGCAACTCCATAAGGGGAATAGTTTCAATGTCTGGGTCATCGTTATGAGAACAGTGCAGTTCCTCGTTAGCTGCTAGTGGAATTAGTGGAATGAGCAAACAGAGTAGATGCGTAATAAGAAATAATAAAATTAATAAAACTTTTAAAGTAAAAAGTTAGGAAGTGAGATAAAAGATAATTAGTACAGAACACTCAAATTAAGAAAAAATAGGTAATCAAAACCTAAAAATGTTCTACTTGCAAAATTCATTGTCTATAAATCGGAGAAGAATTGCTATGTTAAATGAACAAAGTAGTAATTTGTTCTTCAATCAAGAGCTGATATTGAAATCAAATTATTGAAGGTGAACAATTCCAATATTAGTTGTTGATTGAAGAATAAAAAATACTATTTTATTCTTATTTCAAGATAAAATTATTAAGAATCAAAATAACTGAAAAATTAAGCCAAATAATTACACTCATATTAGAAGATATCAGATAATTGAACGTAGGAAGATAATGACTGAATCATAATTATAAAAAGAAACGAAAGCCGAAATGAATGTTTGCAGCAATTGCAGGTTAATGGGAGAGATGTGCAGGTGAACAAAGGTCAGCAACTAGGAAAATTTAAAACATACCAAGTTTTTTCTCCTCCTCTAATTTCTTCTTTTCTTCTGCTGACATTTGATTTGTGACAGGAGGCGGCTCCTCTGACTGTTCTGATATCTGTGGAAACAAATTACCACACAAATTATGATATATATCCAGTAAACATGCAGACAATCATACGTATAAAACAAACACCATCAATAAGGAGGCATTCACCCATTCTATTAAAAGTAATTTAACTGATATATTTTTGTTCCGATGTGGTAAATGGAAAAGAATATTAAACTGAATACAACTTACCCGTGATTCTAATTCATCCTTGTCGGATGATTGTTCCCCATAACCTGGCTTGTCTTCTTGACTTACGACAATGACGGGAGCCGAAGCCATTGGCTCGCTGTACACGGTGTATGTGCCAAGATTGGACAGTGCCCCGCTTTCCGTGTGTTCAAACAAAGTCAGCAGGTACTCTCCTTCATCCGGGACTTCAATCCTCACGATGTACTCTCCACCATCCTCCCTCAGGGTCACTTGCTGTGTCTTGACAGGGTCGTTTGAGTTCTTCTTTTGGAGCTCAGCCATAAGGTTTTCAAATGATTTGGGCAGGCGGATTTCGACTGTACCCTTGTGGGTAACCTTAGGTTTGTCCACATCTGGCATTTCAGGCTTCTCATTCAGCCCCTTGTTGCTGACATCAGCGTCGCTTCGGTCAGCTTTTGAAATGATGAGATAGTTGTGGACATTGTAGATGCGGTCCGGATCTTCCGTTCTGCGGGCGTAGATGCTCGCGGAGTACTCCCCAGCTTTAGGTAAGGTGATTTCCAAAGACGTCTCCCCGCCAGCATTTGGACCGGTCTTACGCAGGCAATTCTCAAAGGCACTATCATCTAAACCGGCTGAGTGAATTTCACAGAAAAGTTCAACTCCCTTGGGGGCTCGGAATTGAAGTGTGCACTGACCGTCGTCGGTTTCTATGAGTCCTCCAGGGTAATTAAGAGGGACAACTCCCAATTTACTTGCAAAGTTCCCTTTCCCCAAAGCTCCGTTATGAACATGTGGATAAGGTTCGTTTTTCACTTTGTCGTTTAAGCAGCGTATGAGGTAATTGCAGACGTTTGGAATATCTCCTTCGTCGTTCCGATCATTTGCGAACAGTTTCAGTGCGTATTCACCTTTCTTCGGTAGGCGCACCGTGACGAAGGCCTCACCATTTTCAACGCGACTGATCACAAAATTTTCCAAGACTTTCTCGTCCATTTTGTTACTCAGCAGACTTTGGAGCAGGGACACATCTTTTTTCAGCCTGAATTTCATTTCAACACATCCATCTTCCGTCTCGACAAGCCCGCAGTCATGTGTCAGTGGAGTCATGCCTGCGTCCTCGGTCTCGGCGCCTGGTCCCCAACCAATGACTGGGTTATCGGGCAGGGGTTCCACATTGCGTTTGGGTTCCGGGCATTCGATCACGTAGGCACAACACAAGTCAAGGCTATCGTGTTTAGTGATGTCCTGTCCAAATATATCCAACCTGAAGGTACCTGCCACGGGGAATCTGATATTGTAGTTCAGAGTTTTCCCTTGTCGTGTGTAAAACACAAATCGATCCATTTGTCCTCCTGCCACAGAGCCTCCCGCCTTGCGATACAACATGTACCTAAACTTTACGTTTATGGCATCCAATGCAGGGAGTTCAAAGGGAATATCTATTTCACCATTGTTGGACTTCACCATACAGGTCTTGAGGCTGTTCGGTGCTAGTTTCAGTCCAAGATTCCAGAACATCTCCCTAGCATACATACTTTGGCCGAATTCATCAACAGTGAGAGGCTTTTCAAGCAATTGCCATTTTTGATCATTGGGGAAGTGAGTAAATATAAATTGATCTGGATCGGGCATAAAGTAAAATTCGTTTATTCGATGATGAGTTTCTCCTTCTTCATCGCCCTCCTCGTAATCATCCCTATCATCGCTGACAATTTTACCATCTATGTCTAGAAGAGTCCACTCCTTGGACGTTCTACCGACAACACAAGAAGACGCCCAGAAGACGTCCATTAAACGCCATTCTCCGTCCACGTATACGGCGTTCCACTGGGCGGCCATTCGGCGTTTGTCCACGGGCCTGCCTATCTCGTACGCAGCACTCTTATTTATGCCATTGACAATGACACATGGCAACTGCGCTAGCCTGAAATATACATTATATATTTGTATTCACGATTTTTTTTTTTGGAAAACAATACATTCAGGGCTCTATAGTACTGTAGGGCTTCTCTAAACAAGTAAAGCCAGCTTATGGGCTCACAGGACACTTTAAATAAGCAACTTCCCCTCCCGAAACAAGATTTAAGGAATAAAACTCACCGGCAAAGAGAGAAAAACAAATGAGCATGATTGCCCATATTCCATTTGATTTTCAGAAGATATTCCAATGGTGTTTTCTGTGGTGGCAGGCTGTCCATTCCCATTCCATGGATATCAATAGAGGCTATCCACTGAAATATTGCGCGCACTTTGGCTACGTCATTACTAGCGCCCTCTGTGAGGTACTGGATCAACTCTGGGAACGGCTTTACCATCAAGTCTTTTGGGGCCTGACATGTGAATGGAAAATCATATATCAAACATCAGAAACTTATTGAGGGTATAGTTTAGATATTGTTATCTGATTATGCTGCTGTAATTTGGAAGAATGATCATGGAACATCTCATTGTAATAGTTGTGCTTCTAGTTTTACTTTTCTTTTAACTATTTCCGGATGAAACCTTGCATGAAATAAGTACACGAAGAAGTTATTCTACTGTAAACCAACATCCCTTGAAATTTCTTTACCTTAAGAACTTTTTTGTCTACATCTTTGAATAAAACCTTAGTGAAGACTTGCACTTTGCGCGTCACAGGGGGGCAAGGCGGAGGGATCTTGACGGATACTTTCTCGTTTTCTTCCTTTTGGTTTTCTGTATCCGCTCCGTTTATTCTAGCAGCTTTGTCGTCATTTTCAATCCCAGAATTAGAGCTGCTTGGACCATTGGTTTCCGATGGCTACAAGAGTACACAAAAATATTTTTTCAGATTTACATTAATATGGTAAAATGTAGTTAAATGTAAAACATGATTTTATTGTCTATGCCTCTCTGGGACCTAGGACGAAGATGAACCAGTATCAGGATGCAAATAAATAGCAAAAAGCATTGAATAGGAGCTGAAGAAGATGAAAAGAATTTCATAGAAAGAAAACACCAACATAATTGTAAAGTGGATGACTTTTTGGTTTTAATTAAAAACAAACAATGCCAAGACGTCTTTTACCTTTGGTCTCACAGCAGTTTTGTTGTTTGTAGACGCTCCGGAACCCATGACTTTGTTGTGTCAATCTGAAATTTAGAAAAAAAAACTATTTGAATAAAAATGAAGATGACGTATGTTTTATGTGAAAATCAGTCATTGGGCTGTCAAGATATCGGTGTCCTTATAAGTAACATCACATAGACCTGATAGAGACCGTCCATAAAATACACATCCACTTCCAAGAGATAATGGCTATTTACAAACGATAACTTTTGACTTAATTCAGTTATCTAAAAGGATTCCAGTGTTCTTGATTTTGAAAATGATTAAGCTTCAAAATGACTTTTTATAGCTTCTGTAGCTCGCCAGTGGTGACAGTCTCAGAAGCTGCAAATTAAAATTTCACGATTCTAATGAAGTCGCCAACACTCATTCAAATATTAGAGAAGTTACTGTAAAATAAAAGTAAAGATCATAACCATCGTAACCAAGGGTTGCATTGCATAAACGATAAGTACAGAAGTAAAGTAATAACAAGGGAAAATGTATGCAACTTGTGACATTTTGCACGTACATTTTTAATAAAATAGTTAAAAGATTGCGTCGAAAAGAAAGCAAAATGCCCTGATTTACCAGCACCATTCCTTTGAGCTATGGTCATACAGAGCTGTAAACGAATGATTGATACATACTTCTGACGTCACCAACTGATTATCTTATTCAGCTATCGTTACTCATGGTAACATTTAAAATAGATTAGGTATCTAACGGACACACATAAAAAAATTGATCACAGTAAACAGACCTTTTTTCAATTGGCTTTATATTTAAAAGAAACTTAATTTTCCTTTTTGTCATGTTTCAATGAAAATCCTTATCTTTAGTACGTTAAAAAGTTTACCCTGAACCAAGGAACATTACGTCTACCAAGGACTGCTTAATCAAGTTTACAAATCACAAATGACGCACGTGGACTTTATGTTTGAGGTCAGTTCCCATGACCACGTTGCTTTAGGTACTCGAAATTCAGAGCAATTTTCTGTCATATTACAAAATGTACTAAAAAAAACTGTCGATGGCAGACTTTGTCATTATGAGTTATGTGTGGAATCGAATAAAGATGTTTGTCAAAACCAAACAGTAGCATCTGTATAACAAATTAAACCAGGAAGAACTGTGTACACAGGCAACTGAGTTTTGTGGAACATTATTTGAGCGAATCGTTGACTAAATTTATTCATGTTATTGATAGACCTCTAGTTTCTTTGGTATCACTTCCTGTAACTTAAACCTTTTCTCCGTTAGTCGATCCAAGAATGTAATGAGGCTTAGGTGCCCCCTGCACGTACACCCAAGAATTGCTGCTATCTCCAGGCCACACTGTAACAGTACCTCGCTGTTTCAACTATCTTTTAAACTAGGTCTGATTTTTCAGTAACCCAAAACGCAACCATATTTGCACATGTCACAGATACACTGTCAATCAAGCTATACTCAGTTAAGATCTGTGCTCCCTGATCCTGTAAATACAGGAGCCATTTGGAATTAATCGCCTCATATTCGTTGTGTAATAATGATACATTGTAATAAGGGAACATGGTCATAAAACTCACGGGTATTAACAAGTGTCCTGGCATTATAGTACACACGTACCTTTACTGCCTCATATGACGTAATCGGTCATTTCGTGTCGTTCACAAAAGAACTACTTTGGTTCAACGCCTACTTAAACATCATATCAAGTAGATTCTTTACTGAAAAAAAACTAACACCTATTCCAGAAACTTCCCACATAACAATACAGTGAAGACGCTATTCTGGGCTTTATGTGGGACGCATTCTTGGTAGGTACGTGCGTCCAGTTAATCGAAAGGTGTTAACAAGGCACAAATCAATGACCATCACATGTAATGAGATCAACTACTTACCAGCCGACTAACTTTCTCGATCAATCCAAGTCAGGTATAAATACATCAAGGCACGGTCAGATGCCTCATTCCATCCTTCAAATTTATCTTCTCCTGCTTAGCACGAGTCAACTGTTCACCTTAACCGTAAGTGTGTTATCTCTGTGTATCAGTTCAGCGGTCGGTGTGACACTGTTCGACGCGTTGTGAGCGACGTCACTCAGTGTAGAGACTCCAGAGACTCATTGTTTTCTTACTGCTCCCCGGCCGTGCCGTTCTGTAAACATTCTACCTTCATGATTAATGCTGTCTCTTTGTGTACCTGCTGAATGGACAATGGTTGCTACAACAATCGATACACAGTAGAGGTCGCGACTAAACGGGAAGAATAAGCACCCAAATGCATACTGTACTCGAGATCGTAATCTGTGAAGTCAATGGCTTCCCTTTTAAAAAATTTAATAAACGCACTAGTTTTTGCATATGTATGAAACTGACAGGCAACTAGTGCCACATGACCGTAACAGTATTTTAACATTCATACCGTTTACCTTTTTGTTAGAACCCTGTCAGCATAACAGAAGGAACAAAAGTCGATCACATTGTGACTTCGCAAGCGGGCGACTTTATGTTGACGACATTTTCTATTATTTTTTAAAAAGTTTTCTGATTTTTTAAAAAAGTGAACCAAGTACTATTGAGACTATTACCTTTTACTGTCAACGTGCATATATCCAGTAGTCAAAACAAATACCACAAATTGATGGTCACGCTTTACTTAAATATTTAATCATGTCAGGTACATCTCAGGTATGTACAAATCATGTCATGTCCATCGATTTGTGGGTGGCAATTATGTCTTTTTGAGTGATGGGAATATAACAACGTATTCATGTCAACAGAACTCAATAGTTGCCTGGACTTTGCAATTATAATGAACTCGTATGCGTAGGCACATGCAATCGAGCATTGACTGCGATTCTAGATTTGGTTCTACATGTAGATCTACGCCTATCACACTGGCATGGATCTGCCCGCAGAAAAATCTTTTTTCCTAAACACGCGTCTGTAAGACCTTTATTTTATTGTTAAAACGAACAAAAAGGTAAAAACTTTTGCAAACGAAAAACTATTGTTAAAGGAGACCAAAACAATTAACGAGAAATTAAATTTACCAAGGAAGCATAGATATTCCCCTTTCATTGTGTGTGGATTTCTTTTCTTCGTATCATCATTATCGTTTTTCCTTTTTTTCCTCCCTTTTTTTACCCTCACTCTCTTTAACACAAGTATAACTGCGTCGCTAAGTTAATGGCAAACTTGAACAACCATATATGTAGTTAAGAAATTTTCTCACGTGCAAGACGAAAAAAAAAAAAACATGCTGGCGAGGATAATTTCAAATAATATATATTTTTTCTTGCAGTTGCATTTCTTCAGACGTTACAACGAGATGAACACCTTTGTTCGGGATAGACACAAACTGTCCCAAAATGAGTTCTTGATACGACTCATGACAGCGTGTTATGTTTGTGAATGCGCGAGAGTGATACTAATAGCTAGGCCCCGTGGACCATTAAATTTACTGTATTTTGCATCAGAAAACCTAGGCTCTGGCGAAGAAAGATCCGGCATGTTTGGAATCTTAGCATGTGTATACCAGATAAAACTTAATGGCAGCAATTTTAATAAGTAACCCGTGCATATATGAATTTAACGGGGTAAAAGTTCATCACAAGGGACGCCTTGCCATGTGACGAAGCAGACGGAATGGGATCGTAGTTATTTTCACCGTCACAAGTTTTCTCAGACTAATCAAACGTTAACTGTTTCACTCATGCAGCAATCAATACAAACCGATCGCCTAGTTACAACCGACTGATTAGATAATAATAATAATAAACAAGAGTTACACAAGTAAGTTCTGACGCACTTGGTATCGTCTTACCTGCACAATTTAACAGTGCCCTGATTGTGTTAGTTGTGCCACACAACCCACTTTCGTTCAAAACTGTCTGTTCCTCTGCATGCATTAAAACCGGTGAGAACTGAGAGAACCCTGAACAGCGCCCTTCCCTGTATCATGTAGGTCATGATAGGTTGTGATAAGTTTATTGATTCACATGACACAATTCTAACACGAAGGCCAAGCAGTGATCATTATCAGTCTCCTCTGATCTCTGTCGACACTAAAAACGCTGTCGTACCTGGGGTAAGAGAAATAGGCCTACCTTCACATATCACCAGCACATAATGTCTTCCTCGGGCGATCAGACTTTTATGTCCACATCATTTGCATCTGACCAATTACCTGATGGTCTCAAGTGGTACACGGAACCCAAGACGTGGAGGACCAAAGCCAGAAACAACAAAGGGTTACTTGCGATCACGGTAACGTATAATACTTCCTATTACTTATTAGACCTACTCAGCCTATTAAAATTAGTATAAACTCTTTAATGTTAAAAAGCGTATTGAAAACAAATGGGAGCACTAGAGGGTGTTTATTTGGACTACACTACCCATTTGAATAAGGTCTTTTGTGCCATCATAAAATACATTATTAATATATTTACTTTTTTATTTATTTATTTTAATAGTTAAAACTTATTTTTGCAATAATGATAATTATTGCTGTATTATAATCATAATTTTGTTGCGTCATTGGTATTTTATTTAATCAATTATGCTTTTTTTATAACTTTTCTTCTAGGAGCCCAAAACAGACTTCTGGCAAAAGTAAGTCAATTTACTACTGTAACTTTAATTATTACTGCAAATAAATTTGTCTAAATAAATTAAATTTATGGTGCAAATTATCCAAGTTGTCATCTTGATATTGTGAATCAATTTGGTTGTACGTTGACCTGGTTATGTGATCTCTCTTTACATTATAGGACATACTATGAACCCCTGCTTGTGGCTGACAATGGACATTTTCTGTACCTTGATGTCAGTCAAGAGAAGGTTGTTATGGAAACAGAATTTGAAATAAAATCTAGTGACCAGTTTGACCAGGTAATACAATGTAGGCTATTCTAATTAGTGCTTCAAGAAATTCATAACCATTCTGACAGTAATTATAATAATGATATGCTTTTTGTGACTGTTCATATTACTTTTGTTTCTACTTAAAGGGATAATAACTTCATTTTTTCTGAGGGAAATAACAATTACCCTATACCTACCAATGTTTTTTTAATCTGTTCCTGCATTCAAAGTTTGTCCCTTGTTTTTTCTTTAAAAAAATTTTTTTTTGGTAATAATCAATTAAGAGATTATTACAGAGGGGGGTCATGTGGTCTGGTAGCAAGTACAGATTCCAGAAAAATTGAAATAACTGCCATTTTGATGGTAATATAGAATTTTTTATTATACTTCTGTGAGTAATATATTTTACTTTTATTGTTTACAATTAATTTATTGTGAACTTATATGGATCTCATACGAAGAGTTGTTATCCCTTGAAACTATGATGAGAATATATTGGTTTGATGCTAATTTTAATAATGTTTTATTAATATTTCAAGTGTGGTCTCATGGTTCGTACAGACACTCTCCACTGGATCAAATGTGTATGTACACTTTATTTACCATCACACACACAAAATATAAAGTGTTTATGTTTGTGATTTGCATGAATCAGTTTGGTACCAGTTTTTTCATATTAAAGGTTGGTCCAGATGCGATCGCTAAAACATGACAGTGGTAGTAATAGCATGAGTGACAGTAGATACATTTATGTACATTGATAACTTATACTGATACAACAGTAAAAATTGGTATCGAACACATATTGTTGCTGATCAATGCATCACCAGTTGATATGCCATGTTTCAATTTGAATTCAGTCAACAAATCAATTTTTTTTATTTTATATATATATATATATATATATATATATATATATATATAAATTTGTTATAAATTTGCTGTCATTACTAGGGAATAGAATATGTAGATGGACATCCAGGACTTGGCTGTGTGGTGACCAATGACTTCAGTGATTGGTCAAAGCAGGACTGGCAGGGCAACAGACTGTGCCTTAGATTGTACAGGCAAGGAAACTCATATGTGGTACATACATTTTAACATGATGCTTTTTGTTTCTTATAATTTAAATGATTGCTATTAATGACAATTAATTAATTTGTATTCTAATAATAAGTTGCTGTTTATTATATGGCAGACAGTAAATACACCTGTTTTTTGTTGTTGGGTCTTAAAATACCAAAACATTTCTTAATACTGAAATCTAGTAATATGATCTTAGTGATAAGAACCACCTTCTACTGCCACTGTCTACTCAGAATTCATTGCACACTTTTCTCTGCAGAGATGGAGCACAGAATTCTGGTTAGACTGATTAGAACGACTCTTTAACCTCAAAAATAAGTTTTTCATGGCTCTAACATTTCAGGTAGAAAGCAAGCTACCTTCAGATTCAAACTGGAATTTTATACGCATCGCACATTTAGACCATGCTGCCACTGCTACAGTGCAAATGGGCTTGTACTTCTGTTCTCCAAAATCTGGAGGAGCAGAAATGTACTTCCCACACTTCAGTATGAGACCTACCAAAGGGCACTCGCATGGTGCAGACTGATTCATTTTGTCAACTTTGACTGACTGAATGATTTGATTATATCTGTTGGATGCACACTATTGAGTCTATGAGAATATATCTTAAACTTTGAGTGACTTTACACAAAAGTATGTCAGAGAAAAAAATTATCTGGTGTGGAAACAGTTTGCTGGTACAGTAGTTCCTGACCACCACGCTATCAAGTTTTAAAAATTCAGAAAAATACATACTATTAGATATAAGATTTAACTAAATAAACATAGGAAAACATGAAAAAATTACGTAGATTATAAGAATAAAGTATTTTTTCAATCAACAGCTAAATAGTGAAATAGTTTACCTAGAATATTTTGATGTCTAACAGAGCATTTTCATCAGGGAATGTAATGCGGCTTCTTATCAGGGGATATATATGCTTGAAATATTGGAGGTAAATTATTACAGTATTTAACTGTTGATTGAAGATAAAAAAGTTATTTTATTTCTATAACATAACACAGCCGAAGAAATTCTTTGGCTATGTAATTTATGTTGATATGCAAAGTAGGTGTTCATGGGTGGTTATTTTAATACTTCTTATAAAAGTAATTTTTGACAACAATTGTGATGCAACTCTTATAGTAAAGAAGTTTGTTTAATTTTCTACTGTGCTGTTAATAAAGAATTATATTATGAAAAATGTCTGTGGGCTTTTTCCACAGTCCAGAAATGTGCCATCAATTAACCAGTGACATAGCTGTGAATACTAGTATTTTGTGAAAAATCAATCTGTGGCTCTGGTAGAGGGTACTAAAATGAGGCCATTCAATAGATCAGCACCTGTACCATACTTTGTCGGCACGTGTGGATGGAGCAAACCATGATATGTAAAAATGTAAGAAATAAACATATAGTTTAGAAGTTTACCTTTATTTACAAATATTTCTTTTTTTAACAAGTTTCACATACATACATAAGACTGCACAGCTTACATGTCACCTTATACTAGTATCTCAAATTATCTAGAACAAATTCAATGGAACATATTTATTTGTTTTGAGCATTTGCTGCTAAACTGTAATAAATTTCCTGGTGCCAAAGTGTCGAGTTATGCAGTTCAATTTAAATGCATATTATCAGAGTGCAACATAAAGAATCTCCGCACAAAAAGAAATTATCAAAGGGTTTTCTAATACTCACTTATCATCAAATTATTAATTTTAAAGTAAAAAGAAAAATCACAGATGTACTTATGTAACTCTTTTTCACACTTGACTTAAGCCGAGTGCAAGGGTACATGCATTCCTTGTATTGTAATTCAGCATAAAATTACTCTTCTTAATTTCATTATCTAAAAAGGATGTAACACATATCTGACATGTGTTTGTGATAGGAAGATTTATGATGCCATGTGACATCTCTTGAAAGTTCTGACTTGAACTTCGGTTATGTCTCCTTTCTTATATTCCGTTTAGTTTTCTTTTCCCAATGTGCTTTGTAACTTTTTATTTTTGCTCCCACAGAAAATTCTGCTAGAAAATGTTTGCGGATTTCGGCTCGTTCCTCTGGTGGTGGCAATAAAGGAAACACTTTATCCTTTTGCCTCAATACAGAAATGTATTGCTGTTGAATAAAAACAGAAAAAGAATGTTATTATATACATAATTAAATTCAATAAAGGCCATGTAACAATAAATGCCTTAATTGCAACAGGTTTTTTTCATAAATTTGTTTTGCTTACCCTTACTTCCCTAAGTTTATTTTCCTTAATTATTACATGTACAAAATATAAGAGAAGAAAGACGGATACAAATTAAAATACGTGTTGATCCAGTAACTTCATCATACACATTCAACTATGTAAGACAATATACTCAGTATCTACATAGATAATCAAGAATGTGAGCAGTATTTGGAAACACAAATGGCCCACAAAAAACAAGACTTTTTTCAGTTTGTGTCATTACCTTACCATACTAGTATTTGGTCCTCATACTATTTCATATGAGGACCAAATACTAGTATTTGGTCCTCATATGAAATAATGAAATTTCAAATTAATAAAAATTATAAAATAAATTTTAAAAAAGTAATTAATACACTTTAATTTTCAAAAGATTATTCTGTATCTATGTATTACCTTACCCAAAATTTTCTGCAATTTTCAAGATTCTGAAAGTAATCATTGCATCTGGTTCTGTCCTGCAAATTCTTTTGCATGCATATATTCTTCATAAATAACTCCTGAAAAATGTCAATAATCAGAATTGTTTACAGTATTCTAATCTACTGGTATACCTGCACAAATCTACATATAGCATTGTCTAAAAAATCAAGATAGAGAAGAAGAGAGGCGCCTAACACACACACATATTATACAACTTGTGTTAGCTGTCAAATTGTTAAGCCAGGGAGAAAGAATGCTTAGAAACTTGAGACGCCCTACATTCCTCTCTCCCATGCCTACACGTGAGCGTAACACTAAGCTTGAAAGTAACACCGAGCTCTTCATATTGCCTCAGTTTTCGACCTTACGTGCTCACGATACCCTTACCAGCGGTAAGAGTACTGTGACTACGAAAGGATTTACAACTCCTTGGAAGTTGGAGTACGTACACGTAACACTGAGGCAAAGCACTACAACACGTTTGGCCTCTGTTATTTTTAAATACACCCACCCTCGCACATGGATCAATCGTTTCATCAACATCTCCAACTGTTTGAATATTTTCTTCTATCTTAGGGCCGCCTGATGTGAAACTTGACATTTTCCCCGAAATTAGTGATGCCGCTCTCAGTCCTCGCCTTGTAAGCTCTTGAATGACGTCAGGAGGGGTTCCCCAATCCCAGAATGCACTGTGGGCAATGGCCGCTTGCAGGTGGGACCAGGACAAAGAGAAGAGATCACCTCAATTTTATTCTAAATCTCGTCACAGTTTCTCGGTGCCATGAAGCAGATGAAATCACATGAACTCAGAGGTAATTTAAAAGTGCAATTTTGGTCAGTTTTTTATCATCGATGCAATACGTCGATGGCCCAATTTTCCTCTCCCCCCATTGTGGCCCCCTCAGGAATTCCGTAAAAGAAACTGGGTCAGCCATTGTAAACAAAGTCAGTAGCGAAACAAACCAAAGGCTTCATTGCGGAGTTATGAAGTATTGTATCAACATTTTGTCATTAATGGAGAAAATCCAATAAGTACTTGGGGATTCAATCAGTCATGGAAATGTTGTAAAATTGCAACTGTTAGTGATATCACTAAAACAATTTTTTGTAAAACTATTTCAAATTTTTATTGGAAATTAGTACTGTACTGTATCTTAGATACAGAATATATCGTTAGTTCATAGTTTTTGTAAAAAAATGTGCTAGAACCATACTGTATAATTATGATAATAATAATACACCTGCTTAAAAAAGAATACATTTGCACTATTTCAATTTCAATGATCCAACTGCATCTTAATGTACTGTACCACCGGATAGGACCTCTTCCTTTTTGTTTTCAGATTCATTGTACACACAGAATGCAAGGACATACTAATCATGAAAGAATCATATAAGCTTACTTCTTATGCAGACATATCATCTAGGGAGGACTTCATGCAGGCACCAAGTGTAACTCCTCTTCACCTCAATGACCCTCAAACTGATGGATTTGTATCGTCAGAGGAAATGGATAAAACCTCTCCTATCACATTTGATGACAACTTACTGTGTAAGCTTATACCTGTAATAGTGAAAACACCAATTTTTGAGATTATGTGAAGTTTAATATGAAATAAAAGATGCCCCTGAAGTGCCCTTTTTCTATCTCTATGATTACTTTGAGATTTAATATAAGTATTCTACTGCAGGTAAAGTAATCAACAAAGTGTACACAGGATGAACCCCCCCCCAAAAAAAAAAAAATAATAATAATAATAATAAATAGATAAATAAATAAATTTTTATTAAACCCTACAAAGGTCCATCAAATTTCAAGAAATTTGTTGGACTTAAATTTCAATATGAGCATGATCATTCCTCAAAGTTTCACTTATCTTGGTTAGTTTGCATAAAAGTTATGCTCCAAATGGCCTACATGGCATTTGGAGGCACACTTTCATATGTCACGAAAAATATTGTCAATTACTCAAACACATTCCCATATATTCCTGTTCATATATATATTTGCGTTTTAATTTCATCATTACAGGGTGTGATGACTGCAGGACAGCATTCTTAGGTAGTTGCCCCACCCATGGTCCACTGTCCAAGATGAAGGACAAGGTGGTCCCACCCAAGGCCAAGCTTACTCTGCCCTACTGTACCTCCCTCAGGATACTAGAGCTGAGAGCTGGAGACAAGCACAGTATGTGGGCTTTATACTTATGAAGATTTGTAAATGAAATGGTTTTCTGGAAACCAGGTGGAGAATAGGAAACATTGTGATATTTTGTGCAGATGATTGTACACTATGAAGTTTAACTTTCTCCAGTTACTCTGAAGTACATGAATATTATATGTTGCCTCGCCTAACTTATGCACTACAAGATTACATGATCCAACATGTATATATCAATTTGGATACGTATTGGAAATAAATGTTGCCTCACCTAACTTATGCACTTATGTGATTACATGCTCCAACATAAAAACTTTTGATGATACCTCAGATATGTTCTTTTTTTTTCACTTTTAAAATTAAAATCATTCTGCTTTTTTAAACAGTCTTTGGGGTTTTTGCAAAAAAGATGATACAAAGAAGAACACAGTTTGATCATTCTGCTTTTTTAAACAGTCTTTGGGGTTTTTGCAAAAAAGATGATACAAAGAAGAACACAGTTTGGTCCTCTGGAGGCTCCTGTTAGTAGCACAGTGCCCAAGGGAAGAGAAGCAGTGTTGACATTAAAGGTAAATATACATGCCCAGTCTTTTCTCATGCTTTTCTAGAATTTACACATGTCATTGCCAGTTGATATTTTAGGGTTATTAATTAAAGTCCAAAACTTAAACTTAACTGAAAATGTTTGGCAGCATATCTATAGAAAAATTTTTTTCACCACAGATCTTCCAGTCTGACCCTGAGCTGTTCACTCACTTAGACAACACAGATGAGGCCCAGTGTAACTGGATGATGTATGTGAGACCAGCCTCTCACAGACAGGAACAGAACATGGTAGCTTATCAGTACCAGGGTGGCATCTACTTCTCCACTATTAAGGTGAAGATTTTTTTATTTGTAATTGTGTCTGACTCAGTGTATCATTTATGTGTAGGGTTATAAATTTGTGTCTCACTAGGTGTGTGTGTGTGTGTGTGTGTGTGTGTGTGTGTGTGTGATGGTAACAGTTATTTTCTTTCCTTTTAATTATATTTTGTTATGTAAGTTACATGTAATGATGGATTTGCACATTAAAAATAAACAACCATGCACCAATGGTCTTAATTATTGACACACCACTTACCATTGTTTTTAGTTTCCTTTCCATTTATATTTATATCCATTTTGATTTAAACTTGCTTATGCTGCATTGATTACAATTTTGCAGAACATCCCAGCCAATGCAGAGCTTAGGGTTTGGTATGCTGAGAGGTATGGGAAGTTGATGGGTGTGCCTCCTTTGGAGAACTCTGTTGAAACAAAGCCAGGTAAGAATTTAATGTGCCACATGAGCAGTTGCAGTACATCTTTAGGTCAGTCCTCAGGCCAGATGTTCATTTGCCTCCTAACCACACTAGAAGGAGCATGTTATATTGAATAATACATCAACAGACATAATTTGGTATCTTAATTACCTGAATTACTCAATATTAATTAATGTCAATTACCTCAAATACAAAATAAAATCTTTCATTCAATGTAATTAAGTCTTAGGTTGCATTATCATTAAAGAATGATGAGACAGGTTAATTAACTGAATCGATGTCTGACAATTTAGGTGAAAGTATTACATTTAAGGTGTAAGTGTTATGCTCTATAGCATGTGGTCTAAGGATTGGCATTAAATGATTCTTTACTCTAGTCAACATCAAGCTAAATACTGTTGTTTTAAAATAAATGATCATCATTTGAGAGTAAATTTAAAAGAAAAAAAATTATTTTGTTTTCTCCCACAGAACCTAGTGACCAAGGATATGAAAAAGATGGTGATGATGAAGATGAAGAAGATGAAGAAGATGAGGAGGAGGTACATGGCAACACAGATTACCATTCTGACAATGAAGAAGTTTCACTTCAAGGGGAGGATTCCACACACCTGGAGTGGTCTTGTTCTGTATGTAATAAAAGCTTCAGAACCTTTGTGGAATTAGAATGCCATGTTTGTGACCAAAGCGGAGAAGACAGTGGTGGCCGAAGGACTCGCAGTAAACGTAAAGGTCATCCAGTGAAAATAATGAAGAGTGAACGTAAGAAAAACAAACCCGCATACAGAGAGCTGGCTGGAGAGTGGGAGGTGCAATCATTGAAACCTTCGAAGAGAGGACGTAAATCAAAGCCATCAAAAAAAGCTTCAGTTGCTGCAAAGAAAGCTAAACCTGCAAAGAATCCAACCATACAGAAGAAATCTACTGCCGGTGAATCCAACCCTGAAAAGGTCCTTGTTTGTCAGTATTGTGGCAAAAACTTCTCAAGAGCCTCAAAACTCCAAGCTCACATCAATACACACACAGGGGAAGGTCCATTAGAATGTAAATTTCCACAGTGTGGCAAACATTTCACCTCGAAATTCAAACTGAAACGCCATGAACTTATACACAAACCAGAGGAGAGACAACACCGCTGCCCCTACTGTGATAAGGCTTTTGCAAGAAAAGATCACTTGAAAAACCATCTAGTTACTCATGATCCCAACAGGGCCAGTCTGGTGTGCGCCCTTTGTAACAAAGAATATCATAATGCTGGATGTTATAAAGTCCATATGGGTTTCCATGATGCAGAGGAGGGTTCTTTGACTTGCCGTGTTTGTGAGCAGATAATGGAAACAAAGGAGGCTCTTTGTTTTCATCTCAAAGTTCACATGGGGTCCAGGACTGCTAAAGGGATAATGGAAAAGAGGCATCCGTGTCCGCATTGTGAGAAGCGGTTTTACACTCCTAAGGATGTCAAAAGACATGTTGTGACTCACACCAAGGCACGTGACTTTCTTTGTCAGTACTGTCCACAGAGCTTTGGTCGAAGAGATCATTTGGTCAGACATATAACTGCAGCACATTCAGATGGGACACCTGGTGCAAAGCCCAAAACTGTTTCACCTCGCAAGCGTAGGAAGCAGTCTGAGAGAACCGAGGAGAGCCCAGCAGTGAGTCAAGAAACATTAGCTCCTGTTGTTGCCCAGGTTATAGCTTCTGCGCCATTTACAACACACTATACTTACAATCCTGGCTTGTCACAAACTGAGTATAATGCATACCAGGGAGTCAGTAATAGTGCTTTGATAAGTATGATACCAAAGGACAACTCCAACATGGACACACTGTCACTCAGTCATGCTGATTCTTCCAATCAGATAAAAGCCAACAATGCTCAACCAATAGGAAGCAGTGGCCTAGAGCATCTTGGCCAGTCAGATCCAATGAATAGAAAGGACAATTCTGGAATGGACTCCTTGCCCCTGAGTGCAGCAGACCCTAGTCTTATGAAACATTATGGGATGTCTGGATTATCAGCACACTCCCAGCCTATGTTCCATTCTGTTCCAACCTCTGTAGGTCACAGTGGTCTCATTTCTCCAAATTTACATACTGGCTCTCCAGGAGATATCCCAATGGATGTGGGAAGAAAACAGATTGTAAGTGGTGCCCTTCCAGGCACTCATCATGAATTAGACAGAGGTCCCCACATTATTGATGGAACTATGACTAACTATCTGGATGCATTAAAGGTCATTGGCTGTCTTCCCTCTGCTTGTCCTCTGCCACCCCCCAGTATAGCTATGAGCAGAGACAGTGGACATCCATTTACTTCTGTAGGACAATCATTCCAGCAGGGATATCAATGAGAAATATCTGAATGTGCAATTAAAATTTGGTTACATCAGGACCTTGCCCAGTCTTGTAGCAAGCCTAATTATTACCATGATAACACAGTTAATTTGGAAATCTTAGTAAATAGTATATGGAAGTCTTAATATTTTGATCCTAAATGTACAAAGTTTCAATCAAGTGTACCAATTGCCTTAATTTACATTTTACTTTTTTTTTACATATGTAAATACAGTGTGATAGATCTTAAGGCTCTGAAAAACATTTAACTGCTTTTATTATGAATCAGTAACACAAGGTGCTTTGCTCTTTGTTTTGTTTCTTAAGACTATTAAAAGGCATATAACTTTCAACTGACCATATGATTTTCATACAGCCTTGATTATAGTTGTGGATTTCATCTTGGGACATTTGAATACAGATATAACAGTTAAACAATTATTTTCTTAAACAAAAAGTATTACTTGATGCAGTAATGCACACAACATCATGGATAAAACAAAAGTTGTTCAGTGTGATTCAATTTTTATGGTAAGGAAAAAAGGGAAAATATTGCATGCACCTTGGCTTAAGGTCAATTAAAAATTCATTTAAACTTTAACATGTCAAAGTTCAAATTGTGCAAGCTGAAAAGCAAAGAACTATCAGCAGAAGTTTTTTTTTTGTCAGATATGAAAAAAAAATCAGTGAACAAAATTAGAAGTTAAATTTATTGCATAGTTTCCTTAAATTTGTGACCTGGAATCATTTCATTAACTTGACAACATCTTTATGTTTTATACTGCTCTTTCTCTGTGGAATAGAAAATAGCCTTGTCAGAATATTAGACACGGTGAAGCATTATAAACAATCGTGTCAATAAGCGTAATCTTATCAGATGTGCTTAAAATTTCAAACAAGACTTTATCTCAAGTTCTAGTAGCTCTACAATGTTTAAAATATACATTTACCTTTTTCTATCATAAAATAAGGCAAATTTATTAATGATTGTCTAAATATATTACCAGTCAACTTGGCCTTATCAAGTAAAAGCATCCCATAAACAATATCACTCAACAGATTACTTAGCAATTTCTTGATAAAAATTCAAATTTAAAATACTTATACATGTCAGAGTGTGTATCTGAACCAATCTCCTCCCTTAATAAAAATTTTGACAAACACTGCATTATTGTATATGTGAATTTTTATTATTATTTTTTTTTTATTTAAAACAAGATCTGGACATTTCCACACAAAACACCTTAAATTATCTTATCGTACGTTGGGGTAATCACATTGTATTTAGCACCTTTATGAATATAACTGCTTATACATGCTTTGTATGCAGTCCACGTAAATGCTCAATTTTTTAAAATAAACACAGGGCTAAGTATCATCATATGATACAAAAAATCACATAAAATCTGGGCATTATCATTTTATACTTATTATAAGCTAGGCTACAATAATGTTAACACTAACACTAACCTTCTTAATGCCAGCCATATCACAATAATCATAAACACATTTATCATCAATCTACAGGATGCATGACCATTCTTTGGTAATATATCACAATGTGAGCAGTACAACTTTTGGGCACTCTGATCAAATGAAACATTTCTCTGTCTAACCAATGATTAAAAGCTGCTAAAGCACTACTGTTATAAGCTACTGATCTCAATCAAACAATTCATTTCAGTGTACTTGTAGATAAAAATGCTCATTCCGTTTGCGACCTGTTTCTCAAAATTAGGTCTTAACTTTAAGAAAAACATTTGATGCAAGACGAGTCAGAAGAAGTACAATTAAAAGAAACATGTTCATTTAATAACAAGAAATACATGACTAGTACTTCATAGCAATATTTACTTTGCCCAAGTGGAATAATGTGAATTATTCTTGAATTTAAACTCCCCAAATTTGTCAACTCAAAGTTGTGATCAACTATTCTCAGCTAAAACTCTTTATAAAACCAGCAGAGCAGCTATTGCCCCTGGCTGAGCATGTTTACCAAACATACTGATCACCATGTTATAAGTAAGATCTCACAAAGTGGGACTGTGTCATCTGACCATCACAGAAAAAACTATTAAAATATGCTTCTTTGTGCAGAGTACACATACCATACTGCTTGCACAATGTATAACATCACATATTTTTCATTAAGAAAATACTTCTCTTAAAATTCCATTGTTATGACTAGTTTTTTCTCTGATTTTATTCCAGAAACTTAGACAAGGCTGTGTAAGACTGCCAAAATGTTAAACCTAAACTCAACACATTTTGCTCCATGTTACAGGATAAACAAAATGTTTGGCATCTGTGGTCTTCTTTCCACCCTCCTCAGTCCTCATCAAAAGCTGGAGGTACATATGTGAACCCTTCAAACACAGCGTCTGTCTCCTGTACACTGGCACTGATTAGAGCACTGCTGTCTGCCGATTTCCCCACTGACGCTGGAACTGGCTCACGGACAAACTCTGGGTCAAAATGTTTTAAATCCATCTCATTGGACTGAAAATTGAAAAAAAAAATCCATTAAATCTTCCTCCTCACTATATAAATCATTTTGTACAAGAGCAAAACAGAGACTAGTGAGTGTTGTAGTCTGCCTTTATTTTGATATCCAAAACATGGTGTTGTGACTTTCCTATTTTCTTTTTTTAACCTGTAAAGCATCATATCTCTGCATTCATCTGCATACTTACTACATTGGGATTATACGGGGGAGTGATTCCCCTGCTATCTAGTTTTGCCCAGTTAATGCTGGCAAAGAATTCGTGAAATTTGATCTCTTGAAAGTCTTGTCTGCAACCTAGGCGAATTGATTTGTCTTTCTGCAACAACTAAATTTGAAAGGCAAAATAAATGTATGTAGAATATCAATAGGCACGTAATTTTATAGGGATTGCATCAATAATAAAATGCTGGTCAAATTCTGTAATGACTGAAAAATTAATTTTTGCAATGACATTGAGTTCAGTTTGAAATGAAGGTTTGAGCTTCTAATATTTTATAGCATAAAATGTAAAAACAGTCCCAAATTTTGACACAGATCATAAAAATTTCTCCTTCATTACCCACCCCTTCTAGAATTTGCCTTGCTTGGAATGAAACATTGGTCCTTAATCTGAGTGGTTTATAGAGGATATTGTCATACATTTCTGCTGTATCTCTGCTGTAGAAAGGAGGCTGAAATGACAGAATAAACAGAAATCAGAAAACAGTTTTAATCTACATATGGTTTACTCCTTGTGAATGTGATCAAATTTTAATGTTAGAGAAATTCCAATTTATATTATTATATATAAATACATAAGTATTTTGCTCATCTGACACAGACAAGCCCTGAGCAAAAAGAAACTGATGATTTAAATTAATGCCCTAAAAATAACAACATGACACATTTCAAATATATTTTGCTATAAGTCAATAAAACACTCCAATTTGTGTCTCCCCCTTCATTCACTATCATTATTCTCTATCCTTGTCCCACTTACCAGACCATACATCATTTCATACAGCACAGCACCCAAGCACCACCAATCCACTGTCTTGTCATACGGCTGCTTCCGTAATACTTCAGGAGCCAAGTACTGAAAGACAAATTTGTTTTTATGTATTTAAAAATTGGCAAAATGAAATACTAATCCCTAACTTGGAGTAAAATAACCCGAGTAGTAAAAGATGTGTGCTTGTTCTCATTACTCACCCCCTGAAATTACATATCAGATTTCATGAAAAAAACTGCACTACAAAAAATATTCAAAAGAATGATCTGTTTTATTTTTATTATCTTTAATCTTTCCATTTTCTTTACTTTTGTCTGAACAGCAAGCTTCAACTTTCTGAATCAAACCCAGTAAAGAAATGCTCACAGTCTCACGTGAAAGAAATTTTACCTTATATGATGTCGGTACGTTCTATGAAATTATCAGTGATGTCAGGAAAATGTGTAATCTAGTAATACTTTTTGCCAAGCTAATACAAACAATCCCTTGATGCATCATTGTCAATATTTCTTTTACCTCTGGAGTTCCACAAAAAGTACTTGTTGTTCCATATTCTTCAATACCTTCTTTGCACAACCCAAAATCTGTGAGAACTACGTGACCCTGAAAAATATTAGGAAACCCTGAGGAATCTGCTATCATCATTTATGAAGGGTTTAACTGGCATTTACACAGGAAAAGAAAGGCACTAATTAAAATGAACAAAGTGCTGGTAGTGAATCACATGCAAAAAAAAAAATCAATAATAAAAAGCAGAATCAAAAATAAAATATAGGTTGTGAACAAAATAATGTACCTGAGAATCTAGGAGGATATTTTCTGGCTTGAGATCTCTAAAATATGGAAAATGACACAAATAACAGTGTGGTGACATATATGCAAATTATAGTAAACAGGCAAGAGAAATCAATGCATCATGCATCAAATGGGAAAGTCAACAGACCATAACTTAAACCATTTCATAATCACATGATTCAAATTAAATAAGCTTCATAACAAATGGATTTTGTCAAGTAAGACTGAAAAGCAGGCCATTTAAAACCAAATTCTATCATGAAATTCAGTGCCTCACTTTATGTTTATTTACAAGACTAAAACCATTTTGTTGAACATTTCATTCCATGTGCTATAAATGTTTTCAAACTCAAAGACCGCAACTGTAAATAATAATAATAATAACAGTATACTTCTGAAATTTATTTCTTCTGTTGTAGATAAGATGCACATCAAAAGCAAGGCTGCCCAAACAGCGACTATGAAGACCCACCCTCTGTTACAGTTAAAAACAAGAAAACAAGTCACTCATGCTTGAGTGCATATAAACAAGCAATGTGTCTGCCATTACTTTTCTCATACATATAAACAAAAACATTAACTAGCCAGAGTGGAACCTGTGGTAATCAGGGTTACCTGTATATGATATTTAGTGAGTGTAAGTAACCAATGGCACTAGCCATCTCTGCGGCATAGAATTTGGCTCTCGGTTCAGCAAAGTATCTTTCTTTTTGTAGGTGGAAGAATAACTGAAGAAAAAGGAAAGAAAACATGTAACAATTATTAAATATCAATTATTTGATGCCTATAAATTTTGTCACCTTAAATCACTGCACATCAAATATTACCACATTATACATTTTTGTCCATTCTTTGTAAGATAACATTTTTATAAAATTGATAATTGGACAACCCACAAAAAGTTAAGATATTACACATTCAAACACAAAAAACATTTCAATAATTTTGTATAAAATCATACATACAATTGAAATTATGAATTCCTTTATTGTCAACAATTAATACATGTAACTCTGGGTTGCAATGTTAAGACAAATAAAGACAAAAAGACAAGTAAAGATGTTGGTTTACCTCTCCACCATTGACATAATCTAACACAAAATATAACTTGTCTGGGGTCTGGAAGGAATAATGTAGTCCAACCAAAAATGGGTGCTTTATGTTTTTCAATAAGACATTCCTTTCCGCCATGATGTGTTTAACTTCATTCCTTTTCATTATTGCTTGTTTTTGTAAAACCTTCACTGCAAATATTGTGCTTTCTGTCTTGTGTTTTGCCAGCAAAACCTATGAATAAGAAAGGAAATTAAACCTACACTACAAAAATGTTTCAGGATTCAATAACATTTTCTTAATTTTTGAACAAAAAAGATGTAATGACAGCATGAAACAAGATTGTATTGTAACAATTAATTATATGTGACGAGCCACTGATAAACCTTTGTCTGTTAATCACTCACTTAACAATCTGCATACTTCAATTAAATCCTTATCAAACGATCAAAAAACACCACGGGTAGAGGGCTAAATGACAAGTACAGTATGCACTACATAAAATACATAGAACTTCTGGTACTTTTATACAAATTTGTCTGCATTTTGAGAAAATACCATAATGATATATTATTGTAGTAAAAATGTTTACTTGACAGCTTACATGTCATGAATTCTAAATAAGGAATAAATATCCTCGTATCCATTACCTTTCCAAAACTTCCTTTCCCAATAACTTTCAGGAATTCAAAGTCGCTTGGTCGTACACTGAAAGAAAGAAAAAAAAAACTTACAGCAATTTTTTTAAATTCTGACTTGCTATATAACAGTCACACTTTCTCCATTTCTTAAATGGCAATAACAAACAAACAACATTAGATTAACAGTATATTTACCTTGCTTTTGCAGGTTTTTGCACATTTTTGTCAAATTTTTCGCACAATGCCTTCACTCTCCTCCCAATGACCATAGTGAACTTCCCAATAATGCAAAAATATGCCTATGTTTTTGCTTTTAAAATCGATAACCTGGCATAATCACAGATATCTTAAAGTCAATATGCACAGAAGGCCAACATGTACAGGTAGCACCATACAGCACACTGCCACTGATGAGCTATGTGTGTGTGTGTGTGACCCAGTCACCATCCCTCCTCCATCCCTGAGCCCCTCCTCCTGATTTTATCACTTCATGCCACTCACCCCTCTGTCATTCACATTGACAATGAAGCTGAAAATAGTGCAGTTGTAGGCCACCAAATTTTGGTCTGTACCCATTTAATTGCCATGTTTATCGCATTACTGAACAAAGCTGGGGTTATCTGTGGTTGTGATTTTAAATGCCATCTTGTAATGGTCTTTAATTCACCTGGATTTTAACACAGGTTATCGCCATGCCATCAGATAGGCAGGTATTGTAGGAATGTTGGTCATGTAATTGTTTCTGTCTGTCCATCTGTGCTCATCTATCTTTTTCTGACAAACTGAGCAAGCACACCTGAACTATGGATGGATAAATGTCCTTTCATGTGTAAAACCCGAGTATTCTGGCAAGTGTGCACAACATCTCAACAGGTTTAAATCCAAATGCAATCTATCTTCCACTGTTTAAGAGACTGCTCAGGTGTTATATCATACCTGTGATGAGGGATATGATATTCTGGTCATGTGTCATCTTATATCAGTGTAAGTTATCTGCTCCCAGTGCCTCAGGTGACTTGTCCCCAAGAGGTTTGGGTGGGGCTACATATATGGAGGTTCTTACATGGTTCTTACATGGTACTATATATATATACATGAGCCAAAGTTCATTAGTTACCAGCTTAAATTTTTGTCATACGTTATTTCATTTCACTTTTGATACTGTTTTGACACTTTTTTCTTTTCTTTTTTTCCTACATGTTATTTGTCACTTTTTCTCTTTTTTTACAAGAATTAAACTTTTGGTAGCAAAATCAATTAAGGTGTACACATGTTTTATGGAAGTGCCTTTCATTAATAAAACAAAAGTGATGGAAATTTCCACTCGGCTTCATGTCTCCCAGCATTATCAAACACAAGAACTTCCTTCCTTCAGTACATGTTTCCTTCCCTGGATGGTAGGACAACCTACTGTCTATCAAACATTCACAATCTAACCTGTCTGACAGTCTATAACATGCACACGTAATAGTATTTTTTCTGCCCTTTAAGACAGGTGTCTTTGTCTGCCTTGTGATTTTACAACATTTTAGAGACACAAAGGAGCATGCAACTAAACACACCATGTAGATGCCTAACAGAACTGGAATAATTACATTAAATGCCAACTGTACATTTACATTATACAGTGGGTTATTCTCATACAATTATGTAACAGACAAGGTTTCACTAATCATTTTTTTCTAGGCTTTTTATAACAGAAAACTGTGTATGTTTGTTTGTTTTATAACCTCATTTATCGGTGATTCATTCTACATACTGGTCTCACGGACCAGTCTGTTCAATGAAGTAACCATAAAAAAGGCGTATAGAAGAATTCTAGAGCACTTTTAGTTTTAACTCATTTAAACGTATCACTAGCATGTGTACATCCTCAAAAAAAAAAAAAAAAAAAAAAAAAAAAAAAAACTTGGTGTTTAATCATAGCATAACTATTCCTGTGCAAGCACATCAAGGTTTTTTGCTGACTCTAGATAGCAGGTCCAGATAGGAACGCAGACATCAGTAGCATGTTCAAGATAATTATATTTCTGGCCTTCAATGTTTATTCATTTGTGTCTCAAAGCAAATAACCTGAGCTTTATAGAGTCATAAAAGACATATAAAAATATGACCCCTCTCAATCACAACAGCAGTGTTGTAAAAAGAAATGCACATTTTGATTCTTCAATAACATCATTTGTTTCAAAATCATAACCTGAATTTTATAATTTCAAAAATCAGTTTTCCACAGGGATGCAAGAACTCAAACTGCATAGCAGAAATTTTCTCACTTCACTTAATGGTTTATGTATTGGACAGCTACCACTCTTGGTGCATACCTGACACCATTTAATTCACCATTAACTAGGACAAACAAAATTATTCTTACACAGATATTGCATTTTGTCAGTTGAAAACTTACCCTGTTCTTTCTGATGGACCTAAATTCACAGGGTTGGCATCTTTGTCAGTCTGAAAAAATAAATTGATGGAATATGTTTAAGACTGCAAACAATATATGGTATATGTCTAAATATGCTTGTGGATTCTGAGTAATCACCTCATTTTGCATGCAAGAGGTGACCATACGAGTGGCAATAAATGTACATGTAAACACAACAATGCACACAAAGTTATGGTTATCATTTAAAGTTTGCAATATTTTTTTTTATTTTGAAGAACACCTGAGCCATTTTTTAAAGCAACCTGATAATTCAATAAGTTTGTACATTAAATCAAACATAACAACAAACCTTGGTGCAGGTGTTACTATTAAATCCCATCCTCTTCATTTAACTGTTTCTACTTTCACTACTCTTTCTGATGTTTTGTTAAATCTACACAGTATCTATATCCGACTTTCAGTGATAACATTTACCATGCTAGTACATGTTTTATCCCAGGCAGACCCATGGCAGACAGTTGTCAAGCAAAGCCTAATCATATACTAGTAATTGCCAACTGAGGCTTTAAAGGGTAAAACATTACATGAAAGTATGCAAGAGGCTACATAATGTAAGACACATGACATCTTCATTTTGACACTTTCACTTTTTATATATCAAGGGTTGCATGAGGGCAGTAGGACATTCTCTTCCCCCCCCCCTTCCCCCCCTCCCCATTCTTTATCCACCAGTTCACACAACAAACTTTTTGTACCTGGGATTGTTCACTTCTTTCCAGTAACAATTGCCATACAACACACCACATGTACCTGTATGTATGTACAGCATGTACCAGGACTGTCAACTACCATTAAAAAACATCAGCTGTAGCATACAGCCAAGACTATTAATCTTGTATGTCTGCTCTACTCTTTCACCTTTGCTGTTCTGTGGTAGAGGCCATTCACTTCAGTTTTGTTATGTGTCATGGTTCCTTGCACAACCTTACTCAAGACTACAAGCAAGGCACAGTGTTGCTATAGTTTTTCTCTATGTATGCCAAAACAAGATTGTGGAATAAAGGGCATTTTCTACCTAAAATCATATAAATAAAAAATCCTTTCAGAGCTCGTGTTTTTACTTCAAAGATTTTTTAAATAATACATTATTAACAGCTTACCAATCCATCTCCATTTTCATTTATATCCTCGTCTTCTTCTTTACTTCCTTGTGTTTTGGGGTTGTCCAGAGACAGGAACAGTTTGACCTCAGGACTGAAAATCATAAAATTAATTTCTTAATTTTTTTAAAGTAATGCATAAATTGTATTATTGCTGTGAATGCATAGTCTAAAATTTAAGAACTGAAACTAGATGAAAAATGATCACATCTCAATTTACCCTTCCATCATATTAATATACCTCTTTTTTTTCTAAAATCTAATATCTTAATACCTCTAATATTATTTCTGAAATCTAATATCTTATTTCCTAATTCTATCTCATTTTGTTCAATTTGCTGACTGACAATAAGAAATACCTAAAATGTGACACATTTCTCATCCTGTCACAATCATCTCACTTTTTTTCTTTAGTCACATCTACCACAATCTAAATTGTTCTATGCTATTTTAACTACAAAACTACAAAATCAACTATCAAATACAATCATATAATTTGCCTACAACTCACTATTTTACAGAGGACTTATTACTGTAATGTAATCAAAGTATATCATACATACTGGTGGCAAATCTTTGGGTCAGAAACCAGCTTCTGTACAAAGGAGTGCAGACCTTCACGTCTCTGCTTGACAAAATCTGGAGCCAAATTGTTTCCAAATATTTTCTTTCCCGGGAGTTTAAGGCCAGCTTTGGGGAATATTTTCTTCAACTGAAATGGAATTATACTAAATGACAGCTATGGAACTGCTCATCAAAGCTATCTCAAAATACAATTATAATGCTGAGAAATTCAGATTGCAACCACTGCATAAAATCCACTCCTCAAAATAATATAATCAAAACTTACCTTATCATAAAGAGCATTAAATTCTGCATATCTTCTGAAGATGAACCATTTTTTGCCTCCTACACTGACTAGTACCTTGTATACCTTGAAAATACATGATGCACTGAGAGTTATTTCTGTTGCTGGAAGAAGTACACGTTTCATAGGCCACAGTAACTAACCAAATGTCTGAAGCATATCTTTAGTTGATTATTTGTCTGTTTTGCTTCTCAGTTCTTAAATAAACCCGAGCTAATTTTGAATTATACTTTGCACACTTACAGAAAACACAAGAGAGGGACAGGAAAGGCCCAAAGACAAGGGACGGAGGTGAAGTACAAAGTCTTAGTGGGTTTATTTCCATACAATATTCTGAGCACCTTTGAATTACTGTAACTGTAACAAACTGAACTTACTGTGAACCTTTTGTCTTTCTCCCATGTCTCTGTGTCTGATATGGCAACTTGAGCTTTGGCACTCATCTTGTTTGGCAACTACAGGTATGCTACCTGGCAATATATACACTGGGAATCTGAAAATAGAGGAGAAATGCATGTACATTATATATCCTTTCCATAACAATGTATTAATTCATACCACCATAGTAACTTCATTGTGATATATATATTTCTGGATGATCTAAAGGCAGATATCAGATTCAGACATGTTATAATAAGTATGTATAGCCTTGTATCAGATGCAGACATAATGATTATGCGGGACAGCAATTTCAAAGCTGGTTCTTTTTTTAAGAAACTTTTTTGCCCTTTTAGTTGACCCAACTTGAGAAAATGGATGTACAGAACCTAGATCAAATGTTGATTCAGAACAGACCTTTCAGAGCTGGGCAGTTTTTTCACCACCACCTCCTCCCTGAAACTCCTGTCAATGTGCCTGATTCGGCCCTATCCTCAATGGCTATCACTTGCCTGGGTCCACCCGGTGCTATAATTTATATCTACTAATAATTGAAATGTTTGCATGTTAAATAGCAGCTGAGCTTGGGTGTTGTTTACATAATAATCAACAGATAGTCTGCCCACTTGTGAAACCAATGTCACATGTATGGATATGCAATTTTTGTTTTTATCTTGTATATAACCATATAACCCCATAATATCCCTGCCATTTTTTTTAAATTTAAACTAAATTCAAAAGAGGCCTTTCATCTGACTTTCAAAAAAAAGTATTAACTCAATTTTTGTTTTTAATTAACTAATTAATAGTTAATTGTAATTTAACTAATAGTTAATTGTACTCAAATACACTATTGCCATGGTTATCATGCACAAAATATTGTGGAAAAATAAATACAATACCAAAGAGGATAAAATATGATAATATAACAAAAGACACTGGTTATACCAATTATACCCATCTACGTACTTTACTAGGAATATTTATTAATAATATAATTAATCAGATGGCCAGGATATTACAAGTCACATGCAGATGAATCTGGTTCAACTTAACAAGTTTAAAAATAGCACAGATACTATTATCTGGCTATGCAACAAGGTGTTTCAGATTTAGTTTATGTACATAATGATAAGCGCAGGTTAGATCTACAGGTATTGAAGCCATTTTAAAATTCAGTGCCATTAAAAATGTGACATTCATAATAAAGCATCATAAGTTGTATTCCAAGTCACTGTCCCCCCTACAAAACCGCTGGTAACATGCCTGTTTCACATGACTTTCAGATTCACACATCATTAAAACAAAACAAAAAGGTAATAGTCTATTGAAACACTAAATTCTATAACTTTTCACTTTTCATTATTTTTACATCCTTATGTACACTTTTCAATATTTGGATAATATGACTATTGCACCATTTGCCAAAACACTAAATCATAGGTACATATGTACTGTGTCAGTTGTGTTTCCTTTGGTACTCCCTATTCAACAAGTGGTCTTTGTGGATTAATGCCCAGTCATGGTTCCTGGTTAATATGTATGTCATGTTTACCAAGATTCTGACATCTATCTCAACATGTATCTGCCATCTATTAATAGAGTTCACTTGTAATGCTGATTCAAAATGAAATATTATTTATTTAAAAAATCCACATCATGCAGTAGAAAACTTATGATCAAATAAGCAAATTATCAATTTAAAATCAATTGTCAAAATAGCATACCCACTTGTTTACTGGATAAATGGAACAGCACTGAAATCCATTTCTCTTCAAATTTCAAATTTTAAATCAAAATGGCCCATATGCAGCAGCAAGTACATGTAGCAATTCTGTACTTAGATTCCAAACCAGTCTTACCAGAACCTTTAATACGTCCAGCATTCCAATCACACAGTGGGCTGATAACAAACACAGCTATAGCATGAGCTTTATCAGCTAAATTTCTTGCCCTTTCACAGAATACTCCTTCAGAAACCTCTTAGCTTCCCTTCACACCCCTGATCAGGAAAATCAATACTCTTAATTCATATACATGTTTGGGGCAGTGTAAACATACCCATAGCTCACCACCTGGTGGATACCATACAAATGTTCTGTTATATATCTATGGAGCAAATAATCTCTTTGGGCACATTTATAATGGTCTATATGACTTCTTTAAGTGTTGAACGAAAGTAAGTATGAAATGAAATGAAAACCAGTAAATCATTTTCATTATGAACTCCAATGTTAAAGCAGAGACTCAGTCTTAAGTTTTACATGCTACACAGATTTCCTAATGCATGTAAATCAAAAATGTAACATAGGAAATACATGAATATACCTGGTGGAAATTTTCTTTTAACTTTCACACAAAGAAAATGATACCAGTGCCCATCGATATATAAAATGTATTATTGAGGCTAAGTGAGGTCTGGCTTATCTAATACAAACAAGAAACCACAGGAACCTATCTCCTAAATGTACACCAGTGTTAGCCCAGGCACCTAGCATACTGAGTACATGCATACATATGTAAGATACATATACTTTATTACGTGATACAGTGAATAAACTTTGGGCTGTTAAAATAAGTAGATGTATTAAATAATTTAAAGCAATCTCCCCAAATATATTTCACATATTGTCTTGATCAAAATTATACTTTGCAGTTTAATGAATAGTGAAAAATAACTGTTTTGGTTGTTGGTGATAGGTAGGTGATGAGAATCCAGTATTTGTCGCAGAGTGTGATGAATAAGGATCTCCAGTAAGCACTGTCAGCCAGTCGATCTCCCACACTGATAAAACTAAATTTAAATTTAGCATTCAGAAAAGTAATTGTTATTAATTTATATTTAGCATAAGGTTACGGTTTTAGCTTTTTTTAAAAATTATATTCAGGTGATGTCTTAAGTTCCTAGATATCATGCATCTACTTTTTAAATAACATAATACAGTCATAATCCCAAAAAGACACAGGTTTCTGAAATTCCATATAGAACTTTTTGAGGTTTAACTATAGTTTATTTCTGGGTATTTCTGGTATTATGGTTTATTTCTGGTTATTCAAAGGGGTCTTCAATTAATTTTGGTTGTATTTGGAGCTAATAAATTTTAGTGATATTTGTCAAATTTAGATCTTCATAGTACACATACATTAATCATTTGTACTTAAATCAGATCAAAATTTATAATCATATGTATAAAAAATGTATCAATCAAATCTATTTAGCATAATCTGTTGATTTCTAATACTTTTAAAAGTTGTGACTTGTAAGAAATAAATCCAAATCAATTCTTAGTGACTAGGCCTGTTGCCAATAATATATTTCTTTTAACATTTATTTGCTCTCACATGCATTTTCACTACCACAAGACAGCAGGGATGCCACTAGAATTAATCTTTGTGACATCTTTGCTGTTGTAAAATTGTTTTTAAATTAATATACCACTACAATATTTATAACTTTTCTTCCCTTTATCAATCTTTTTAACAATTAACATTTAATAATGATGGTGATGATGGCAATAATAATAATAATAATAATAATAATAATAACTTTGTTAATATTAATCATGCATCTAACCAGTACTAGTAAAAATATTATAACCTGGTAAAGGTCAACACCTGACTTAAACTGAAGGACTTTACTTTTGTTTACAACATTATATCAGCTTTTATTCTAGATAACATTACGCTTGACTTTGAATGAATTGAACAGCTGATTATGACTCGTAAAGCCGAGGGGCAGAGGGCACCTGTTCTCTGCCAAAGCCGGATTTCATAAACAGCATGCATGCCCTACCTTCTTTCGCCAATATCATCTTACAACAATAATAATATTAAAAGCAATTTCCATTCATAACATTACACGATAACTTACCTATTTCTTAATGACCATGTAAAACTTTTTTCTCTTCCGTATTACCCTCCCCCTTCAGCCATGTTTACATTGGCTACACAATTTGTAAGTGAGCTCTTCATTGGCTCAAAGTTTTTAAATAGGTCATGACGATACACCTTATTCTTTACCTGGAATGCAAAGTTCTTCAGACACTGATGTCAAATATCCTGTACCCCACAATGTGTTGCAAGCGCGCTGGCTGCTGCAAAGTTCATTTATACTACAATATCAAAATTAATAGAACATGAGCCTAACACAAGTCACTGTCGTAAAGCAGCCTGTATTTAAAATAGTACATGTGTACGTACTTTATTGTATTGAGTGCCCAGCCGGTAAGGTATACAGGTAGATTGTATCAAATAATATAAAATATGCTGGTTGGTATTACTATGTCATCTTATGATATTCATTATCTAAATAATTGTATACATGTACATGCAAATGTACTACTCGTCGTAGGTTACTGAACCTGCAAATGTCAAGCCATGTACACATTTAGAACTCAGAAAACAAGCTAGTTTTGTTTTGAAGTGAATGAATAATTAATACTAATATTATAATTTTGCTCTTAATCATTTAATATGTGAAAATGAATTCTTTCTTAATACTTCGAATGATCTGCTTTCTTAATACTTTTTTGCTCATGCAAATAAATGCATGTGGTCCTAGAAATTAATTTAATTTATTCGCCAAATGATATTTGCTTTTTATTAACTGATAAAAAAAATTCATACTTGAATACTGGTACATGTATATTCATTTAAATGAGCAAAATTAAGTAAAAATTTTTGATTTAAGGTGATAGTTCTTGGATTTTCAGTTACTTCAAATTTTCTAAGCTTGCCTATACACTTGCTGGCAAAATGCCTGTTCCCGTTTTTATATTTATTATTATTTATTTATTAATTATATTTTTGTGTTCGTATAGAGTGTCACAAAACAAACCGTATTTCAAAAGTGGAAAAAACGGACTTTTAAGTTTTAAAAAACATTTTAGGGAGGAATGTTTTTTTTTTTTTTTTTTTTTTTAGCTTGATAGAAATCGACTTTAATTTTAAAAAGGATTGAACTTTCAAATGCCCATGGAGACAAGAACAATCTTAATTACGGAATTTACAAGATTTTTAAATCAAAATCAAACCGTTTCTCTTGCGATCAAGCAGGTGGTACTCGATCCTTATCCAGTTCATGTCAAGATTGAGTATCGTCATGATATTCTTGTCCAATCAGAGAGAGGTTTTCTTTTGTGCTTGGTTTCAGAATTCCCACAATACATAGCGTAAATAGTTTGGAACATGGCGCCTGTGACAGGAGTGAGTGCTCAAATTTTTATGCATTTTCTTAATTTCTTTTATAGCATAGTGGTTTCAACCATTAATTTTTATAAATATTTACCCACAATGTGTTGGTCTATTTGTCAAACTTATCTTTCAAATACAACACACAATCGTTCTTTGTTACTTGTTATAATATTGATTACATTTCAGAGGTATATTTATAATTTAACTTGAAAGTTAGGACATAATATTAGATCGTGCATTCATTTGTATCTGTAAGGAAATTGTGATTGTCATTTCATAGGGACAGGGAGATGATGGACAACGGAATGCAATTATTTTCGATTCATCTAAACGGGAGGTATTTAGTCTAACAAACGGATTCAAAACACTCAACAGAAAACTTCGGACCAGTTGGAAAGTGCAGAGGTAGATATACTTATTCATGTTTAAGTGTACTGACATTTATGTTCAAGTGGTGTCATTATATCCTGTGAGGAATATGGTTTGCAAAATTTGATTTGAAAATAAAATTGAGGCCATTGCTAATGTTTTACGGTGTAAGTACAATGCACCATAACTCTGAATACAGAAATTGACATTTTAAAAGTATCTCTTTATTTTTGAAAGTTGTTCAAAGTTTTTTAAGCACATGTAAGAGTCACAGACTGGTTAAGTGATCTATTTTTATTAATTTATGATGGCTCATGTGTACATCTAATGAAATGATATTTTTTCCAGCAACAAGGATGAAATAACAGATGAAAGACTCGCTGCAGCCAGGGTGTTCATAATTGCAGGGCCAAGGGAGAAATTCACAGGAGCTGAAGTAAGAACATAGAGATAAAAAGAAACTGATATTTTTTATCAAATTGAAGATATTTAATTTTAAATATGTTCATGGCCTTTAAATTTTTTTAAACAGTGGTCTTTCAGAGAGTTAGGTATATTTTAAAGTTGCAACAAATTATTATTTTTCATAGTTAGCAATTTCTGTAAAAGTAAGTTATGTTGCAAAAGATTTGCTGAAGTTTTAAGTAATCCAAGTTTTCCATTAGTAAAAAAAAAAAGATCTGAATTAAGGCACATTATCTTTCCAGTGTGACTGTATAAAAAGATACATAGAAACTGGTGGAAGTGTGCTTGTCTTGATGGGAGAGGGAGGAGAAAGTAGATTTGACACAAATATCAATTTTTTGCTGGAACAATTTGGAATTATGGTGAACAATGGTAAGTGTTATTTGAATTATTCCTGATGCTAGTTTTTTCCTTGTTTTTTTCCAACTCTCTATGTAATTACTTTAGATGAAAGTCATGGTATAGATGTGTCATAATGATGCCTGTTTGTGTTTTGTTTTTTAGATAGTGTGGTGAGAACATCATATTATAAATATTTTCATCCAAAAGAAGCACTAGTCTCAAATGGGGTTTTGAACAGGTAAGTCCAATGATATTGTCAGTTCATTGTTAGAATCTACTCACTGAAATGCTCGGACAGTTTTTAATTCAGTCACTGAACTAAAATTAGATATTGTCACATTTTTTATGGTCTTTGCTATATCTTAAGTCAATTTTCTAATTTATTGTCAGGCATTCAGGGAAAAATGAACACAACAGAGTTAGGAAGAAACTTCAAAAATAATAACAAAGTAATATTTTTTTCTGACCTTTGCTATTTCTTAAATCAATTTTTTTCGTTCATTGTTAGGCATTCAGGGGAATATAAACACAACAGAGTCAGGGAGAATCATAAAAAATTATTACAATATAATTTATCAGCCTAACTCATTGCTTTAATAAAAATTCCGTATATACCTTTCACAGGGCAATTAGTCAAGCAGCAGGAAAAGTTTTCCTTTCAGAAGAAGACGGGAATAATGCACAGTAAGTATACTTAATTTAAATCATCACTGTAGAAGAGACAAACTCATCTCTCTGAAAGTAAAAGGGGTTGCCTTTTGAAATGAACCCCAGTACCTATGTGAAAGTGAAATAACAGTATGAAAAGAGATTGTAACTTGGCATAATGATGGTCAGTAGGAACTGAAACATTGTTGAGAAAACCGGTTTGTTTAACTTTAATTAAAATTGTATTTTTATACTTAATTTCTGTTAATTTCCTGTTGTAAGGTATAGGTTATATTCTTTTAATCATGAGGGGCTGAATGTGCAACTAGATATTTAGAAATGCATAAGTTGTGTACTGATTTGTTGTCACTGATTTTTCAGAGCACTTCAGTTTGTTTACCCATTTGGAGCTACACTCAATGTGATGAAACCGTCTGTGCCAGTGTTATCTACAGGAACTGTGTCATTTCCTCTCAACAGGCCTGTCTGTGCATTCTTCTCAAAGGTGAGAGAGCAAGAAAGAAAATATTAGATAAATACTTTTAAAGTTTACTTTTGATTTTTGTTATTTTTTATGCATTATAATTTGCTATTGAATGATTTCTCAATTTTAATGTTGGACAGTTTCATGTTTTTTTATTATTTTTAGTTTTTTTTTGGTGAATATTCGTATAAACTTGCACATACATTTATTAAAAAAGTTTAAGATAAGATCATAGTCTTTAAGTGTGACATGTCTCGTATTGCATCACAATCTTATAGTATCAGCTGCAGTGAGTTCACCCAATACATTTTTTAATCCAGCATACAATCAAAGGCAAACTGGCTGTAGTAGGCTCTGTGCACATGTTTTCTGATCAATATTTAGAAAGAGAAGAGAATAGTAAAATATGGGTAAGTACAAATAAAGGTTGACACTAAATTTAACCAATAGTAAAATTCTGAAAAATATATTTCAGTCATCAACTACTTTTTTCAAACAGTAAACTATCAAAAAAGATAGGCAATTGGATAAGGTTACCAAAACACCCATTGATATGCATTGACAGTGGTAGTTAATTTAAGACTTGCAGAGCAACATGATATGGGGTATTCAGTAATGTGTATCTGCATTTCAGGATGTTGTTCTTCAATTTCTAACAACTGCTGACATCAAGCTGAACACAATAGATGCTGAAGATCCAGAGGTAAAGGAAATGAGTCATAATCATTTATGTCTATAGAATAACAAGTTCAATAAACGATGTACAAATTTGATATACTAGATACTTGACTGTTTTGATGCTAAGCAATATTTGTCATGCACCAAAGTATTGATTTATTTGCTTCTCCTTTTAGATTTCAGATTACCACACCCTACCAGACATTGCTAAACTGTCAGACAAGGTGAAGACTTGTTTGCAAGAGAGTGAGGATATCCCAAGAGACTTCACGGCTCTCTTTGATCAAAGTCTTTTCAAGTTAGACACAAGCATCGTACCTAAGGCAATAGGGTATGTGAGATTTCCTTCCTATCTCAATTCTTCTCCTGTGAATGATTTATAACTCAATTTAAAACCACCACCAGGCTTTATTTTAGTAATGATAATTTCAATATCTATTGCTGTTTGAAATGCACACATTACTCATTCTGTATTTTAAGCCATTTGTTTATTTTGCATAAATATATTTCCAGTGCTTTTGAGCAACTTGGGGTAAAGCATGAGACACTGAGCTTGATCACTCCCAGTTTTGAGACCCCTTTGCCACCTCTACAGCCAGCTGTAAGTCAGGGTATTTTACCACTCTAATAAAGGGTACCGGAGAAGATCAGCATTGGTCAGAATTGTGCCGGAAGTGACGTGTAGTGGTATAAGATGTAAAGCTGAGTGGTCATTTTTAGCTGGAGGTGAATGGGAATGAAGACGTGGGCTTGGAGAAAAAAGCAGTTATTCTAACAACACGGTAAGATAACATTTTATCTTTATGCATTTGGGACAGAGAATACTTGTAGAAACAATAGGCACAAGATATGAAAACATGTCATGAAACTTGAAGGTGCAAAATCATGGTTAATTTGCAGACAACTTGTTTTGAAATACATGCTGCAACGACCGCCAGCGCGACAAAGAGCGTAAAGGGAAAAGAATTCCCGGGAGGCTATAAATCGTTGTCGTGTGGAATTTTGGCATTTATATAATCTGATGTGTCCATATCTAAGTATTTTTGGGTGTTTTATGGTATGGGCTACAATTATAACGATGTTTTAGGGTCTTTGAAGGACCTTGTGAAAACCAGGAAGTAGTTCGTAACTGACAACTGAGTCGTAGCGATCCACAACTGTGCAAAGATGTATCTATTTTTAAATATTTTGACGAATTTTTTTATCTTTATATGTCCATCTGACATGAAATTCCACACATATGATCACATTAATACACCTTTTACACCGGGGTAGCCACTAATCAGTGACAAATGCCAAGACAAAGGTGACATTCTAACAGCAGCAGTGAGCCTCTTATCTGAGCTAAAAACCAGTAGCAAAAGAGACTGGCAATCAATTCCTTAGGCTGTAAGTCAATAGCCTTGAGAAACTGGTCATGTTATATCTTATCTACCTGTCAAAATCGCTTTTCCAACTGAGTATTGCATAATAATGTCAATTATTAGTAACTTAGAGCTAGTCTTAATTACCTGTTAGCTTGTGATCGACTCACCTGAATTCTCTTTTCATCTTTTTGGGAAGATCTTGTAAAATGCCATTTAATGCCCGTCGCGTACTTGTGATTAGTGCCTACCCTGGTGTAAAAGGTGTATTTGTCAGGGGCGGATTTAGGCCGTTTTTTTCAGTTTTTTTTCTGTCCGCCCCTGTATGAGTATGATCATATGTGTGGAATTTCATGTCAGATGGACTTATAAAGATCTAACAATTCGTCACATTATTTAAAAAAAGAAACATCTTTGCACAGCAGTCGTAGATCGGTACGATTCAGTTGTTAGTTACGAAATACTTCCTGGTTTTCACAAGGTCCTTCAAGAACTCTAAAACATCATTATAATTGAAGCAAATACCATTAAACACCCAAAAATACTTATGGACATATCAGATAATATAAATGTCAAAATTCTAAATGACAACGATTTATAGCCTCCCGGGAATTCCTTTCCCTTTACTCTCTTTGTCGCACTGGCGGTCGATGCAGCATGTATTTCAAAACAAGTTCGTCTGCAAATTAACCACGATTTTGCATCTTCAAGTTCCGTGTCACGTTTTCATATCATGTGCCTATTATTTCTACAAGTATTCTCTGCCCAAAATACGTAAAGAAGAAATGTCATCTTACCAATGTTGTTTGAAAAACTGCTTTTTTCTCCGAGTCCATGTCTTCTCTCCCGTTCACCTCCAGCTAAAAATGACCACTCAGCTTTACGTCTTACACCACTACACGTCACTTCCGGCACAATTTTGACCAATGCTGATCTTCTCCGGTACCCTTTATTGAACTAGTATTATGTGGGTACACAAGATTCACTGTGATTGTTGCTGTATTAAGAAGTATAATTGTTTATCTTGTTGACATCCATTTTCTTTGTAAATGAAGTATCATAATGGCAGTCCATATCTTAAAAATTATATAATTTACCAATATAACTCATTGTTTCAGGTATTCCCTCCTCAGTTCCGTGAGCTACCACCTCCATCTTTAGACTTGTTTGACTTAGATGAGCAGTTCTCATCTGAAAAGGCTAGACTTGCACAGATTACTAATAAGTGTAAGTAATTCAACCTCTGCATTATGTTATCTGTTTTAAACTGCATTCTTCCTTATACACTTAATTATTAAGTGAAAATAAATCTGTCAAGTTGGAATTTGTTTAACCTGGATTGTTTGGTTTTGCATATATAATATGTCATTCTACAAATTATCCAAATCATTTAAATCTAAACATGTTTTAAGTGATTGACCATTCATTTTGTCTTTGTTACAGGCACAGATGATGATCTGGAGTACTATGTGAGAGAGTGTGGGGATATCTTAGGTGTAACCAACAGACTGCCACAAGACAGCAGGGATGCCAAGCATATACTGGAGTTCATCTTTGCACAAGTGACAGAGTTCAAGAAACTGAATCAGGTAGGAGCATACAGATAAATGTGGACTTACATGTAGAACTTGAAATCATGATTGTAAGTTTTAAAAAGACAGTTTAATTTAAGATATTGAGTCATCATAATATTTTAAATTGTACAATTTTTTTACTGTTGACAGTCCTTTAGTTATAAGGCAATACTAAAGTTTTGTTAGAATATCATTTTATCTACTGGCCTTTTGATACTAGATTTTCTTTGATACTTTTGAAAAAAAAAGTATTTTTTTACTATTTTCAGGACTCGCATGATATGGAAAATGGACAATTTGCTGGTGGGACAAATTCTGATGCAGCTGCTTTCTAAACATAATGATACATATATATCATATGGAACAAAAATAACTAGCTTTTTACATTATTCTGCCCATCACAAACCCTGTTGGCTTGGCAGAGACACAATAATAAACAAAAAATTGGAAACAGAAATTGGTTTGAAGAAAACATTACTTATAAGTGATGAATTGTGTGAATTTTGAATAATTGTAATTTATTACATGAAAGGAACACTAACTATTAAGGAATATCATAAAAACCAAGTGTTAAACTGGGACGTTCTTTGATTTTGTGCTGCCATGGAGCTTGTGTAACTGGCTTTTGGTTGTCAGTTTAGTTGTCAACCTTATCAAGGCATTTAAATCAACACATCATGACAGAAATACGTGATGTCTATTTTTTGCTGTCATGTAACTTGGTAGAGGAAATTAAAATGCCAGTGTTATATTAAAAGGCTTTTCATAACCTGGCTTTCTGTGAAACTAAATTGAAATCAACAGTTGCATGTTCTTGGCAAAGTAATTATTTACAATAATTCCCATATAGTCCCATCCATATTTTTTTTTAGAAGTAATTACAATGAAATATAGGTTCCTTTTCGTGAAACATTTACCATGTGTACTGAATACATGTAACTTACTATAAATGTGTAGCTGTGATATTACATACATTGCAAGATTAGTTTCATTCCTTTTTTAAAATCTTAATGAAGCCAATTTAAATGGTTTTTGGCCTGAGATCATTATTTTATAAATAAAAAAAAATCAGATTCTAACAATTTAACTTACATAAGGCTTTCTTGAGTGTCACATTACATTTTTGTTAAGATTCATCATAAAAGTTAAGTGATCTCATCATAACGTTCTTCACATTGTAAAACATGAATTGTAAAACAACAATATTCTTATCTTATCATTCTTCATTCTTATTTGTATGTTTTGTAGATATGTTCATATGCCTTATCGTTTTCTTCATAATGTACAGTAAGGTGTTTCTTGGAATGTTGATATAAATATTCATTGATTTTATTTATGATATTGATTATACAATTAATGGTCATCAAACTGAAAGCGTATGATTACTTTGGTCAAAATGAAAAAGTTCCAAATATGCGCAGGTTTTTGGTTTATAAGATGAAGAGATACATCAAGATCGAAAATTTAACCAAAAGATGGAATCTCGAGGGGGATATCTTTATTGCAGGAATGCTGCAAGGTTTGTGACTGATAACCACGATACTATGCCGTTGGCTTAAAATAAAACCGCTCCGTTGACTATGTTGACCACTTTAATTCAATGAAATTTCAAAATAAAATTTGACTCGCTATATATATATATATGCACGTCCACAGTACTGGGTAACAGCAATGGGTTATCATCTTTAAAAGTCTGTCAAAATATTCCTATGTGTTGGATTACAATGGGGTTGCTTTCATGTGAAAGGGGTTGGATTAAAACAAACAACTTTGTGGTTCCAAACATTGCTGTGTATTTTAAACTTTTTAATTCTTAGCTGAAAATGACACTAAAACAGCGCTTTAATCCGGGACATAGACATACTGTACCAGTTTTTTTGCCGTTGTACCTTATGGGAGAAAAAGCTCTCAAAATAGCATTGTCACGTTTTTGGTCAATTCAGGGGTCATTTACGGCACACACACTAGAGTAAAAAATTGCTCTTCGTCACAAATTTTGATGGGTGAAGAAAATGGGTTGTTGTCCATTTAATTACCATCGTTTCCTCTTTCAACTTCAGTACAAAGTATTTCTCCCATAGTGCACGATCAATCAATCAATTTCGGGGTTTAAAGTACCTGAAATACACTCTGTTTTTCATAAAACAACAATATGTAAATAGTAAATAAACCATATATATATATATATATATATATATATATATATATATATATATATATATATATATATATATATATATATGACGAGGCCTCAGGGCCGAAACGGCCGTAGGGTATTTTTTAATAAAATGGAGAGAAAAGTCCAATTTATTCGTATCCTTGATTTTATATATATATCCGGAGTTGCCAACAATAGAAGATCATTTTGTTCACGTTGACTACAGTTAGAAATGAATATTTGTCATCAAGTTCTACTGTCTTCGTAAAAACAAAGGCTTCCAAATGTCAAAATTGAGAATGAGATAGAACTATTACGGTTGAAGCCATTTTACAAATACGTTATTAACATTTATGGGTTTCTCACACTGGTAAAATACATGTATCTTTGTCAGAGGATATATACTTGCGTGTTTGAAAATTCATTTGTTGCATTCGCACCGGCTTTTTGTAACAACAACATTATACTATACAAGTAATATATAAGAAATATCAAAATGTTTTACCTTCAGGAGTTCACAGGTACCACAACAAACCTTATATCTCGGTATACATCGCATTTTCCGGACTTATTTCAGACATTTTGATTGAACATCCGTGGACACATTCTCCGTAATATATAACAACCCATACTAGAAAATGTGACCTAGGAGACGCATGTTTAGCAAATTTGAGTCTAAATCCCACAAAATGCCCAGGATTAATATTCGAAATATCAGATAACGTAGGGTAGTAACTAGCACGAAAAATCGTGTGTCAAAGTAAAAGTAAAATGTCAAAGTGCTAAGGCCAAGAAAACAAAATTGACTAGTTGGTTGACGAGCGGTGTCTCTGAGTTAACTGGGTCGGTGGACAGATATTATTATTATTTTTAAGTATATTTTTTATTGTGTTAATGAGCATAAAAGTTGGTTTTATATAGGGGAGGGATGTCAAATTTACAGTGCAAACAACAGCATTCAAGTTTTTCTTGGATGAGTTGCATATTTCCCATTTATCAAACCAATATCCAAGGCATTTTTGCAGTTGAACCAAAAGAAAAATAGGCGCAAAAAATCTGATCTCCTCAAAATTAGGATTGGCCGAGCTCGTTTACCAATTCATCAATTTTGCCTAATAATGTATAATTTCTGTGCTAGGAACGAACATGTCTGATATTTCCCTCTTTGCGTAATTACTTGGAAATGAATTAGCTCATAACATCTCAGCTTATTTATTTCTCATTTTCTAAATGACATTTTCTTAAACCAAATATATCATTGTAAAACAGGATGTACTTTCGCAGATCTACAAATCTTACGGTGACATGTGAAAAGATCGCCATACGCCTCTCGAAAACGTCTGTTGCACAAACCATATATAACCGGATTAACGCACGTTGATAGGTGATAGATGACTTTTCCAAAAGGTTGGTAAGGGTGGTCACCGTCTATAGCATCCAATATTAGCAGCGGGAAGTTTAACACAAGATATCCCGCAAAACATATTCCGATCATTTTCAACAATTTGACGTTTGCCTTGAACATATTGGCATTTGCCACATTCGCCAAATTGATGTCCACCATTCTGTATAGATGAAAAAAAATGATAAAAACAAAATGAATTGGAAAACATCAAGTCATGAAAGCAGGGTATAGCGCTAAAATTGTTCTTAGATGACAGGTTATTGCGAGCTTTTCAGTACCTAAAATCAACAGACCACATTTGAATCATAGCAACTAAAGTACAAAGCAATTTAAGCTTTTGCACCTACACACTAAATGACAAGAAACGATTTTTACCTAAGGCTAAATGAATAAAAAATACCTTTTCTTCTTTTTGTAAACTACAGCCAGCATGTGCAGAAAAAGGTAAGCCACGACAAGAATGGGCAAAGCTACCGTGGTCCAGAAGGTCCAACGCAATATTCTGTCTCCCGCAGGGGCCTGGAAGAAACATCTTTTGTTCATTCGATGACCAACTTCCAAATCTTCCCACCTCGTGCCTAGCATAACTACGGACACCGCCAACCCAGGAAACAAATAGCACAGCGAAGCGGTAAGGATATACATGGTTTTCTTGTGGCGACAATCACGGTACAAAATTGGCCAAACAAGGGCAAAGTACCGTTGTAGGCTGATGCACAAAAGACAACACGCGGTCGCGCCTAGAGTTGTCCTTTCCGCAAAGATTTTAACGAAACAGGCCTTTTTATCCTCAATTTTTTGTCCCAGTATCATACCATATGCATTAACTGCCATCAAAACAGGATAAAGAACACCGTTGTTGAGACTGAAATTTACAAGTGGGATATTTTCCATTTTTCGCAAAGTTTTGTTGGTGAAAACTGCTAGAACAACAATCATGTTGCTAACAATTGCAGTTATGATGATTGGAATCAGGACGTATCCGCCAATAAATGGCCTTTTTGTATAGTTCATCGGCAAGGCAAGGCTTTCATTCATCTTGCGTTCTATCTAGATTTCTTTGCCTGTGAAGACGCAGTGATATCCGTGTTATCCGGCAACTGCCTGGCACATAAACTGGCTTCTATTTATCTGAAATCTGAGATATTGAATTTATGCAGTTACGTAGAGGGCGTTAACTCCATGTGACACGGACGTCTTTTTCAAGAATATGGCAAATACAATTTGTATTCTTTATTTCTGAGTCCGGCAACAAGTCCATTTATTAGGCCAATGAGATCTACTGAGTACATAGGTCATTGATTAAGCCGACAGTGAAATGTACATGTATATCAGTGATTATCTCGTTTTCTTTTTTATCAGCAAGACAATGGGCACACATTTGTACATGTTAATCTCACATGACTGCAAGGTTTGTACAAGAGCATGCATTTTCCACAAACAAACCTTATAATTTACTTTATCCAAATCCTTGATGTGGAAGAACTACTCTCAGTTGTATGAAATAAGCAGTTTTCCCATAAAATGTCAGACAGGTTTGTCAGAGGAGGAAACCTCCGTTTTACATGAATCTCAGATAGAAGATATTTTGGGTCCTAGCATAAATTGAATAATGAACCATTAAATCACAAACAATACAATAAAGGCAGCAATATTAATACATAAAATACATGTTACTGCAATGCCACCAGGCAAGTAAATTGCAAGTCTCGTGTATGTTCCATGTTCAAAAATTTTATAAAAATGAAGTGGTTCCAACAAGTGTTTTGACTTCACTCCATATCAGAGGAAAAATAACACCACAGGCTTTGAAAAATATTCCAGCAGATGTGAGCAAGGCCCTGTGAGCAGCCCACAATGGCTCCATCCGAAATACAGCATAGACTGCATACAAGGCAACAGCAAAGAAATGCCCTATCAGGATGAAAGGTTTAGGTTTCAACCTAAAAAAGATATAAACAATAAATAAATCATACATCTATTCTCATGCTTGATCTTGTTAAGTCAGTACTGGACTAACCAAGTTTAGCTCTATTAAATAAATAAGCAAATGATCAACAACAAAATCTGGATGGCCACAAAATCTGGATGGCCAATCTGTCATATGTCCACATTAATACTTTTCATTTCCAAGGAATACCAGAATGCCTTAATCAAGTTAATGGCTCCTAGTTGTAGCTTAAAGCTCATGATTTGCACACAGGGTAATACATAGCCGATTAAGTCTACTTACACCGACAGCAGACCCACAGGTCCATTTACACACTCTCCACCTAGTTTGAAGTACTCAAAGCAGGCCCTTCTTAGTCTTCTTAAATGTTCTTTAGGAAAAGAAAATGGGCGAGGGAAACATTAAGCACAATCTTCACACCTTAAAACCATGCTAATCATAAAAACCTTCAAAATAATTGTCATATTACAAAAATATATGTATATTACAATATAGGTGCTTGATAACTTACGGTTAATACAAAAATGATGCAATGCATTAAATCTGTATAATCAAATACTTTCAATAAACTTAATAATTATAACTGCACACATATACATACCATCAGTTGCAGCAAATAATTCATACAGTGCCTGTGCAAGGATATTCACCACAAAGGAGTGGTTATTCTTTCTCCTGACATGAAAGGTGTTTAAAGCTTTCGTTATCTTATCATAGTCATACAGGTCTGAAATGTCTTTTAGCAAGTCTCTCCATATGACAACATCATTCAATGCTACACTCATCCCTCCCCCAGTGAGTGGATGGCGCATGTTTAAAGCATCTCCTAGTAAAATGACACCCAGTTTTTCTATGGGGGAAGGAGGGAGGAAACTATTTGGCATGCTTTTCAGTTTGCCATTCTGTATGCTGTCTAAAAAAGGCTCTCTTATATGTTCTGTAAAAGAGAAATGTTTGACAATAATCACAAATATAAAAATATCTTTTTCTATAAAAATATAAACAAAATTATAAAACTTCATCATAATTTTTATAAAAATCAAAGATCAAGAAACATTCTAACACAAAAGAAGAGATAAAAATGGCAATTGACAAAATATAGTAAAACTTGTATAAATCGTTCACATAAATTGACATTTTTCCTTTTAAAAATTATGAACAAACAAAAATAAAACATTCACATTCTTCAAACAAAATAACAATGTACCTCACATAGTAGAATATTACTTAGCATTACCTGGTAACTGTGGCGCAATATTCTCAACCATGAACACCTTCAAATCTGGAGGCATTTCCCCACGAATATCCACAAGCACCCTGGTCTCCCTGGACGATATCTGATATACCAGAATGGGGCTGGGCTCTGCCAGCACTAGTTCTGCATGGTTTGGCATTTTTTGTGGGCAATCTGTCATTATTGTGCCAACAAAATGGGACTTGACTGTTACTTTCTCCTTCACCAGATTCTTTCTGAAGCGGGAGAAGCATCCATCTGCTACAACTGTTAGAGGTGCATGAATTGTCTAAAAATAAAGTTAATAAATCATGATTACTACATTTCTGAAATGATTGTTATCTAATACATCAACAAATCAATATTTATATGAATGTACCCACAAACAATAATAAAAGAACTATACTGAGTGCAAAGTATGTATTTTAAAAGGCAACATGAGACAAAATAACACCAGATTGTCTACTGAACCTATAGAAAGTGTCCAGTAGTCAGTTAAATTTTAGACCCCTGAACCTAATTGTTTCACAGGCATTAGGTTAAACAATAAAAAATCAAGGGGATTATTTGTAGTCATCATTACCTTGATTTCTTCAGAGTCCTTCTCCCTGTACATGACACCTGTAACAACTCCATCTGTTTCCACCAATTTATTTGCTGTACCTTCTAAGTACGTCACACTGAAAATTCAGCATTGGTATGAAATAATATATAAAATAGATTTATTTAAAAAAAAATACAAGAAGGTTAATCAACTCTGAGATATTTTGGTTTGATGAGATTTTAGGGTTGCCAATCATTGACCAAAAGTAAAATAGGATTAGATCATTTACACTTACCCTGAATTTTGTACAGCTGCCCCTGGCAACATTACTCAGATAGCTATCTGCACCTTAACTGTTGCAGTTCTATTGGAATACCTGATTATGTAATTTATTGATGTAGTTTTAATAAATTTTCAATCTCGATAGGGGTTCTGGTTTTAAGTATCCCTAAGCTGTCTAACAGAACACTTACAAACCCGATGAAGCTAAATACTCCACAATCATTCATATTTGTGTAAATTTTTTCCAGTAAAAAAAATATAAAACTAACTTCTCTTGTTGCATGGCAGCTTTACGCAATGCTGAGACAAATCTCCCATGGTGAAATGCTCGTCCAGAAAGAACTGCCTCCTGGTCATCTTTGGGGTAAGGTATTTGTACCTCAGAGCCTGACTCATTGTCATGGATAATATACCCTTTCACTACATGAGCATCAAACCCTTCTGTGCATTCTGAAAGTGAAATATATTAAAAGTTCAATAAAACATGTGATTAAAATTCTCAATAATGAATAGTTTATTTATATCAAATTTAGTACACCTTTATCAAGAAATGTTTCTTTAAAACTTTCACATAAAACCTTGAAAAGTATTTCTGTCATTTTTAGTAATTTATCATGCAATTAAACAGCACAATTATTACCTTAAAAACTTTTATTTAAAATTTTTTATTTAAAAAAAGCAACCAGCTACCAGTAAATGGCATATCACTGAAGAGCCAATGAACCACCACCATAAATTATACAGACATATCTTACCACTGAGACCCAACTTCTTCAGAGCATTGTAGCCCCCAGGCTGTAACAGTTCTCCCACAATGCGGTCTGGCTGTCTGAGGTCCCTTTCAATCACTGTCACTTTCCTACCATCTTTACCCAGGACTGCAGCCATAGATGTGCCCAACACACCAGAACCAATGATCAGGACATCTGGCTCAGTACTAGATCTACATGGTCTGTGTGTGCTGATGTACTTCTTTGACTTGAAAAAATATATATTAATAATTATGAAATATAATACAACTTTAACTACAATTTAAAATGGAAAAAATAAAAAAACAACAACAACAACAACAACATAATTACATGTACGTGATTCATCAGGTGCTGGTATCCTCTTGTCTTTGCAATACCCAGTGCTATGCAATATATATTTTTTCATGGACCTTTTTATTTAAAATATCATTTATTCAAATATTTCAATATGTATGAAAATATTGTGTTAGTGTCAGCCCACTTTTTCCCCTTTAAAGAAAAGCCACGATGCTGAGGGTGGGTGGGGTGTGGTGGAGGAGGGAGGGCTTAATTATACGATATAAATAAAATTACGATGAAAATATGTGTCTTTGGATAAAAATACCTAAAATTAGTCAGTACTTACCTTTTTCTTTCTTATCAAGGCCACAAAAATTACCGCTAACAATCCTGTGACGATAGGGAAAACAAAACTTGCATAATCCACAAAAATCTTCAGAAAAAGACCCATGTTACTTTGTTAGTGTTCTATGTCATCTATCAATGCTCATGTCCTTGGATGAATGAAAATCGTAAATAAGACGGATGGAAACATTACAAGATTGCCATTTGGTCATCTAGACAGTCAAGACATTATATAACGTGATTCTGTCCACAACTTTGCCAGGTCCTACACTTTATTCTCTGCACAACTGTCACCTCACATGTAGAATCGGTCTGCTGATGGATTTTAGCCAATCGAAAGGCTTTATTTTGTTGACCATGATTACGTGCATGGCAGACCCGTTTTATCATTATAATACGTCCAATGATATGCAGCATCTGTAATTCTTATAGAAATTTGATTCAGTATTTTATACACCTCTAAAAATGTATATAATGTTTAGAATTATTTTGCATTTTATGAATTTGTTACATATGTGCACTTAAAAGTGCGAACTGTTATGGTGGTGCACCATGCACACATTATATTCAATCATAGGAATAGAAGCTAGTTACTGCGGTGCTACAGCCACATTGTCCCTGAATGAAAACATCGTAGGACAGATAAATGGACCAATTAGTTTTTAAACCACCAGGTAGTCTCCCTAGCTCTGCAGGGTCTGCGAGTTCAGACAGGTAAAAAAGCTCAACTTTCAGAAATTGAATTAAGTTTGTATTTATTAAAAAAAAACATTGACGAAAAACACGTGCAAGGCACCTTTTCAATGCAATGCATTTGCATTGCAACGTTAATTGTTTTTGCTGTGCACAAACAAGTCAGTTCAAGTCACAGTGTGGCGAATCACAGAATATATATGATATAAGTGTGTTTGCTTTGGTAACTGGCCGAAAACTATTAAACTCATACCATAGGTCGATCTAGGTGGATAGGACTACCAAAATAATAGTCAAGTCTACCCTATTATGCAATTAAGGCACACCCCACCTATCTGATAAAATATCGCACTTAGAAAAGCTAAGTATATACAGATGTTTTTCTGAAAGTCATGGTTAAAGTCAGTCAAGATGTTGAAATGCCAAATGAGATTATTTAGCCTGTGACATGACATGAATTTAAAATTATTACATGATTGCTCATATTTTATTTTGAGTTCTCGTTACAGAGGCTGTCATTTTATACATATTTAGTAGCACGGCAGTGAGTTGGAAAGTGTGGTGATTTTTTAATGGATGTATGTTAAAAACTTATGTGATACATTCAAACTTGTGACAATTACAGCAACTCCAGTAGCTTTGTAGTTATTTTTTCATTAGGCTACCATTGTGATAAGAACTGTAATAAAAATTGTCTTAAAATTAAACAAATTTCATTAAATCATCATATTTACCTCACTAAATTTTATTAAATAATGACAGCCTTGGAAACCAAAATTTCAAAAAACATTGATAAAAATTAGAGCAGAAATGGACATCGTATCACTCTCAAACCAAGTCTGTCTAATGATAAATAGCCAACTTGGTTTGAGGGTGTTTTTGACGTAATTTTCTATGTTGTGTTATATAAATGAAATAAGATTTTAATGATGGACTCTTTTGTCGGATATGGCAATTTCATGATAATTGTTTAAAAATACATAGCAGATTTCTATCAGGTTTTTCACACTGGTATACTAGTGTGGTATTCTTGAGTCATTTTTTTATTCTGTGGTTTGTAGGTTCTTTATTTGATCAAGCTGACAGCTGAGCATGGAAACTGCCATGGGTTTTTAAAAAATGCAGAATTCATATGATAAACATTGAATAAATATAAATATTTAGATAAAATGTTCATTGTGTTACAACAACTTATCTTTGATTACAGTGACAAAGACAATGAACTAGAAGTGGACACAGGCTCTGATGAGCCTTTTGAGGAGTCTGTGACCCCCCCAAGGACACCCACTAAAACTGTGCCCCCAAAGAGCCCCGTAAAGACAACACCTGGGAAACGTAGGAGCAGGACCACTAGTTTAAGTGCCACAAAGTCTGCTGCTCGTGTAGTGACGTCTGGCAATCGAACTATATACACAGCAGGAAGACCACCATGGTATAATTCTCAGGGAGAGTTGAAGGAAGCTTTTGTTATAGGTTTGTTCAGTGTTGTTCTTAAAACTAAAGAAATTACTTAAGAAAGTTATGTTTACTGGTTGCTTGTACAATATATTACTTTCTGTCACTTACACATGTTTTCCCCTTAGATAGTGATGCTAAATAAGTGAAAGATTAATCTACATAATGATTTAGTAGTGCTTATCATGTACTAGTAGGGATATGTTATCACAGAAAACATGCTACTGCTATTGCAGGACTGTGTGGAGGCAGTGCTTCAGGGAAAACTACAGTAGCCAAAAAGATCATTGAAGCTCTTGATGTTCAGTGGGTCAGCGTACTTAGCATGGATTCTTTTTACAAGGTGACTTGGGAAAGACTTTATATATGTATATAAAGAGCTTAGAGTAAATTATTATTCAACTTCAGATAAGAAGGTCTCATGTAAGCATCTACATGTATGTAAGAAAGTAAAGTCATGTCTTGTACCTTTTTAGGTCATTACTGTTGTGTACAAATTAAATTTATCCAAAAACACTCTTGGAATAACTGAAAATTTTCATGTAATATTTAAAATGCCCTTTCAGGTATTAACAAAAGAACAACATGAAGAGGCTGCAAGAAATGAGTACAACTTTGACCATCCAGATTCATTTGATTTTGACCTGATGGTTCAGACTCTGAGGCGTCTCAAGTATGGAAAGAGAGTGGATGTTCCAATATACAATTTCCAAACACATGCCAGGGAAAAGGAAAAGGTAACATTGCAAAACTGTCTGTATATATTGCTATTGACTGTGTTTATCAGCTTTGCTAAGTTGAAGCAGGAGCCATGTACATATCTTGTTTGTTAAAATGAAAATATTTAGCAAAAATTAAATGGTTTGGGATAGATGTGAAACATAATGATATAATATTTCAAATTCACGGAAAAACTCCTTGTGATGCTTATAAAGTTTGTAGAAAACAAATGAATTCTTTGTGAGCAGTTGTTAGCAGATTTGAAACTTGCTGACTTTTTTTATTTACAGAAAACTCTTTATGGTGCTAATGTAGTTATATTTGAAGGAATTATGACATTCTGTAATAAACAACTGCTGGAGGTATGTGTTCAACATATGTTGCATTAGATCATTGGGTTTATTTTGTGATGACTAGCAAGCTGTCAGGAAGTAGAATTTTTAATAATTGACCCCACAACACATTTGTGCACAAAATCATCTTGTGACCTTATGAGCATTGCATATCATTCTGTTGCTTGCTGTAGTTTTTTGATTCATTAGAAATCAGAATAAGTATTGCCTTTTTCCTTTATATAGACATTTTCAATGGTGGTAAAAATGTATGCTTTCAAATTATTTGGTAAAGTTTTTGGCATGAATCAGTATTAAAAGAATTACGTGATTTCATTTTTTCTGCCTGAATAAGCATGAATGATGAGGTATGGTAAACTATTTGTTTCAGTTAATGGACATGAAGATTTTTGTGGACACGGATTCAGATGTAAGGTGTGGTATTTAAGATTACATTTCAGTGGCCTTTCTGCAAAGGGTCTGCCTGCTTCCCTCTTTCCACCCTCCTCCCTTTTTTTCTTGACCAGCATAATATTATTATTATATAACCTGATGAAAATGGTTAGTTTATACATATATATATACACATGAGCAGCACTGATTTTATAAAGAATGTTCAGTTGTGTTTAGCAGTCTACTGAATTTACAACTAGCATTTACAATGTTTGGATTTAATGTATAATATAATCAAAAAAAAAGGATTGCAGTAACCATATTTAAGTAGTCGTGTTAGAGTTTTGACACGTGCTGGCCAAATAAGTGTTTCATACTTGATTACTATGGTAGGCTTGCCAGGAGATTGAAGAGGGATATCACAGAACGAGGTAGAGAGATTGAGGGGGTTCTGAAACAGTACCACAAATTTGTGAAACCAGCCTACGACCACTATATAGCCCCCACCATGGTCCATGCTGACATTATTGTTCCAAGAGGTAACACATTTCAGTGATTTTATGGTATTTAATTTTTTTTTTTTTTTTGCAAATTTTTTGTTCAGTTGAAAGATAAGTTATGATACATGGAGAGTTTTTTGAGACCAGTAAAAGTATTGAAGATGAGAACATTGATCTTGCTTTCATAAAGTTGAACCAGTATATGATATTCTTGTGTATGTATTTTCCATTAGTTGTTTGATATTTTTGTGTTGTCATGGTAAACAGTCTCTCATACTAATTTCTTTACTTTTGACACCAGGAGGAGAAAATAAGATAGCTTTGAATCTCATTGTAACCCATGTCCACAACCAATTACAACAGGTAAGTGTAGCTGTTTGTTGCAAAAATGAAAATGTCTGGTAAGAAGATTTGCATTTTAATTAAATCTTCTATATTGTTTGGATTTTTTTCTTGTTAGTGTGGTGGTAATTTTAGGGAGACAAATTTTTGATGTAATATAATAAATGGAAGCAATTTATAGAAGGGTTAAATAATAAACATAAGATATAATTAAATCATATCAGTTATTTATTCTGATTGACAATTAAAAATACATTGCATTTGCTTTGTTTTCAGAGAGGCTTCATGTTCCGTTCTAAACTGGCCAATGCCCAGTACGAAGGCCAGCCACTTCCCAGTACTCTTTATGTTCTAGAGAACACATCACAGGTTAAAGGACTGCACACATTCATTAGGTACTGCTTTAATACGTTTTGTCTTGGGGGGAAAAAATATCCAAAATATTTTGTATTTTACAAGTTTCACGTAATTGATGGCAGGCAGATTTAAATGCAGTCTCTTGCATTATTCAGAAACAAGAAGACTTCAAGAGATGAGTTTATCTTTTATTCCAAGCGTTTGATGAGGTTGCTTATAGAATATGCACTGTCCATGCTGCCACACAAAGTAAGTACAAGGACGAAATGTAGGATTTTAGAGCCCTTATAAATTACAGTTTTAATTTTAAGTAACATTTTTTCCTGATGTTGAAAGAAGAAAAGGTGCTGAAAAAATTAGATTGAATCAATTGAGCAGTAAGAAAATTATCAGATATTCACATGCAATTAAATATATCATTTTTCCAGCACAGCAAACTTGTATTGTGGTTTAAAAAAAAAAGCTAATTGGTTAATAGGTCAGAAACTTTTGGAAAGCTGAATACGTCAAACTGTTTAAAACAATTTGGTCTGGTGGCTGTTTCAGAAAGTGGTGGTGGACACTCCCCAGGGCATTCCTTATGAAGGCATGAAGTTGGATGATAGCAAGGTGAAAAAAGTAAGTAATAATCAAAACGTCATGCTATGCTCTTAAGGTATTTGTTAGATAAAGAGTTTGATTTTTTTTTCATGACATGGCATGGGATGTTACATAAATATTTAGAGCTGTGACTTCATATTGGATTAAAAAGGTTGATCAAATTAGAATGAATCATTGCACTTCCTCATCCAGGTATCATTTGGGTAAACATGATATAATAATAATTTATGAAATTATTTCAGGTTTGTGGTGTGTCAATATTGAGGGCTGGAGAAACAATAGAGCCTGCACTGACTGAGGTACTCAAGGATATCAGGCTGGGAAAAATACTCATACAAACCAATCTGGACACTGGAGAACCTGAGGTACATTCGGTATTTATTATTACTATTTTAATATTGATTTGAGCTGTTTTCTGGTTTTATTTCTGTCCAACAACATTCCTGGAATAGTATTTCTACTGTAATGAAATAAATGGTAAAGTGCTGCTTTTACATTTGATAAGATTGGCCCTTAATGTTGTGGTCTTTCCACTTCAGCTGCACTATGTCAGGCTGCCGAAGGACATAAAAGACTACCATGTAATCCTATCAGATGCTACTGTGGCAACTGGGGCAGCTGCCATGATGGCTATAAGGGTGCTTTTGGACCATGATGTTCAGGAAGAAAATATTATGTTTCTGTCTTTGGTTATGGCAGCTCAAGGTGATGATGTGCTCTTATTCATAAATATTGCTTTTAACCTTTTATTCTCAGATAATGCATAGTTAGTAGCACTTTTAGTTGAATGGTATGTTGCCAGGTTGGTCTTACTGTAAAATTAATTCTTCTGGTCAGAAAGGTTGATGTTCTAGAATTTGATAGTTATCAAATTCAAATTTTGGAAATTGACTCTTCTTTGGCTTAACCAAGTGAAGAAATTCAATTTGTATTAAGTTTTTTTTTCAAAATTTTATTTTATTTTAGCGGGTACAATAAGGAAATCATCTACTGTGTTTCCACTTGATGGTGACTGTCTATATGTTCATCCTTTTCATAGGTGTCCACACAGTTGCCTATGCATTCCCCAAAGTGAAGATAATCAGCACAGCTGTGGACCCAGATGTCAATGAAGATTTCCACATTTTGCCAGGGATAGGTGGGTCTTTGAGGAACTTGAAAAAAGATTATTATAGAACTTAAAATATTGTTTCTTTTTGTCTGTGTAGTTATGTATTGTGTCACTAAAAATTACTTTTAATACACTTCAAAAAAGAGTGAATCCTTATAATAGCTTGTTAAAAAGTTTTTGTCAGTGATTTGTTTAACCAAAATGCTAGCAAGTTAATTTTTTTTTCCATTTTCAGGAAACTTCGGTGATAGATATTTTGGAACAGA